CCCATGTAAAGCAATATGTACTTATTATAGAGGATTTACTTAAACCCAAACTTTAATGACTGTTTTCCCACTGAATTTACCCCAATCATACCTAATATATTCTATAATGTGTGACAAACATCCATTCGTTTCCCGTTTCAGCTTTTGGCTACCGACAATGATTTCTGTTTAACCAATAGAAAAAAACAACTATTTTTCTAAGAGAGTGATTTTCTGTTCTAAAACGTGAATGTGAGGCTGAAACTAAAACCCGAATTTATTTAACCATCACACGGTCCAAAGTCTAAATAATATTCCCTTTAGAAAAATAAAAAGGGTTAAATATTATTTTTCTCTGCAGTGGAGACAGGGTATACTGGATCTATTAGAATGTGTACCTGGGAGAGAGAGAATACCATAATCTATTGTATCTATACTTGTGTGCATTGAATGCCAGTAATGCAGACAGGCAGGAGAGCTGTGTATGGCTTCTCCATTCTCTCAGTTACGATTTCAATATCTCGTTTTTGTTTTACATTAACAGTCTAAAATCTTAATCCAGGTGTTGACTAAGTGTTTATCCACTGTGGCCCCAGGGAGCATGCAGGGAAAGCCAGGAAATGTTGTGTATAGGATATTCTTGCAGTAGGGAGATTGTTCTAGCAGACTATGATTGGTGAGGGGCCAGCAGTGCCTGGAGGGGGGTGTGGGGGAGGTCAGCCTGAGCTCTGTGTAGTGCTACCCAGAGGAGGCACATAGTGATGGAGCACATATACATGCACCATATACTCTATGGATGCATCTCCTAAATAGTGATGGCCTTATAAAGTAATCGGAAACAATATTTAAAAAAAAAACAAAAAAACTTTTCTTAAAGTTAGTCCTCAACTCGACATAATTCGCCGTTTAGAGAATAAGCCCTCCCCACTATGTGTCTGTACCTTTACATGGTGTGATTAAAAAGCACCCTATTGTCAGTAACTATATGGTGGCATATGTCTGCTCCTACTGACATTGTGGCTGTCTGAGGATGATAGGAAACTCAGAGTAGGTACATGATTCTCAGCACGGAGTTGGCTAAAATAAGGCAGTTTATAATATACAATCATTGCTCCCATAATTATTACCATCCCACAGCTGGGCACACAGCAACAACACTACATTCAATGTTATATGCTGAGTGTGATTAAATAATGAAGAACTCTGTAGATACACAGATCAATGTATGTGAATTAATTCTACAATCATAGAACACATTAAAGATTTATAGTTGTGTTATAGTTGTCTGTTACAATGTCTTTCAATAGATTATGCTGAATTAGAAATGGATTGATGGATGGATAGACAAGGACATGCAGACAGACTGACAGACAGACATGGTTGTGGGGGGCAGAGGATGAAATCTAGATGCATTTAGAGCCCCATATAATTTCTGACATAAATACATACATATATTGATATTCACTTTACTAATAGTAGGCCTGTAATATACAACACAAGTCGCTGCTTAGTAAATAACTCCAGATGATCCCCCATCCCCATGACTCTGGTCGGGCGGAATAATGAATGGCAGGGGTGCTGGGACTGTCTGCACAATTTTGGGTAAACCTATATTATAATACGATTGTACCCCTTTTTAATACCCAGGAGCCTACTCACTAAACAGCGAGTTGTAGGTCACAGGCTGACATTCATTATGTAGTTTATACTAGCAAAAAAACAGAATCTCCCTCAGCTGACCATTTTACAATGTCTGTTCGCTGTTTAGTGAATAGGAACCTGAAAGCGACAATTTCAGTCACAGTAATGCTTGTATTCACTAGAAAGTTGAGAACAGAATTGTAACACAGAAGATGAATCATTGCCTATGGATAAATTGGATATTATTCCCAGACCAGCAAGTTTGGTCTAAATTTGGACATTCTGATTGCAATGCTCTACAATTCGATGTTTAGTAAATAAACCTCCCGGCCCCCTTGGGATCCCACGGGCATTCATCGCACATTTATCGCCCTAAACAGGTCCTTTATTTTATTTCTTATCAGACAAGCTGTTCAAGTAATCCGTAGATACTTTCTGGTCAATGTGATTCTTTTTCAGTATATCATATGTATCATGTTATATATAAAATGCCAAAATCCCACAGTATTGCACTGACATAATATTTCAAAGACAAGCTTTCGAGAGTTCTCCTCTCTTTTTCAGACCTGAAGCAATACCTGAAGAAGATAGCAGGCCTCTGAAAAGCTTGTCTTTGAAATATTATTAGTCCAATAAAAAAGGTATCATTGCATACTGCAGTACTCTGGGATTTTGGCATCTTGTCTACGGGACTGACACAACTAATCCATTCTACACTACTATGTTATATATATGTATATAACAGCGATGTGTGTGTGTGTATATATATATAATAATTATAGTGTATGTACACCTATAACAATTAAAAATAGCATAAGATAGACAGTTTGCCAACCATAATATTATAATATAATTATTATTTTTTTGAGAACATCATTACAATCACTAACATTACAGTTTTTGGATGGAAGCGTTGTATAACTTAAAAATGTAACGTTCAGCGTGCCTTTTTACACAAATCGCCCGTACATTACAAACATACTATATATATATATATATTACACATACAGTGTGTTGACTCTACATATCTAATATGTATACACAACATGTACATGCATGTGTATGTATATTGATTGCTGTGAGTGAATGAATTGTGTGCAGAGCATTAAAGAAATTAAATGCCTTGTCACCCTCTCACTCTTGTCTCACATGATTGCAGTTGTACATTCATTGATAAAAGTACTCTATCATTGTGCCCCAAGAGCAATCACTAAATCTTCCTGGCTAAGCCTGGTGACTCCTCTTTCAAACTGCAGACAATCTGGCAGCCCAAGTCAAGTTAATGTCAGAATTAGGAGCAACTCATTTCTTGACATTTCCAATGCTGCCAACATAGAATGAAAGGGGGAGGGGGAGTGTAGGACACAGAATGGAAGGGGGCGGAGGGGGGGTCAAACCTGGACAAAAACATTTGGATATACAGATATGGATTGGAAGTGGCTGATAAGAAAAAGGAAAGTGTACAATTGTAGTAATTGGTGTGTGTTTGTGTCTGTGTGTGAGGAAGAGTGATCAGGGAATGAGATTGTTTATGTGTGTGTGTTTGTTTTACAAAGTGTCAGCTACATATCTAATGTCTTGAGGCCTGGGCAATGAGACTTGGCTATTACAACCAGATTGGCTTGTTGTCACTGCTTGACAAAAAGTACACAGAGACTCTGAACATTTTTTTACATATCAAACTAGGTATAAATGTTTTGTTTTTCTGATACTTATTCTTACAGTTTTAAAACATAGGATTTGGGCATTTGTCACCCATAAGGCAGTCTACTTGCAAAGATGCTGTCAATCATTTCAGACTTGTAAAACGAACCTATTTATGTCTGACACGAATAAGCATCTATGTCAAAAACACAGTCCTGGAGTACAGCATGTGTTTGAAATATAGGCCTGCACAATCAGATATTCACTATTATCCCACGATTATTTATTAAACTGAGAACTGTAGCAAATTCGCAATCGCTGGGTTATTAACTAAAATGGGAATTTAAAAGTTCAGGCCAAAGCTGGCGAACTGGAAAAAATCTCCAAGTTATCTACGATTTTAATTCATGTATTTTGGACTATAATTAATAATATTTTTTTATTCACTTTGATTCCCAAAATAAACATATATCCACGGGTAACCCAGTGAACTGGAAAACGTGAAAACAATCGAAAAGTTATTATCGGATATTTATTGGCATAATTTTTGTAATTCGGCATCAGTGCATCCTCAGTTACCGTATATATCGAGTCTAGGGAAATTGGGAATCGAATGAAAATATTTAGGCCGAAATATTGTTATCCAGAAAAAATAGGCTCTCTAAATGGGCTGAATTTAATTATTCATTTATTTTGTCATAATATTTGTAATTGCTAATTCGCATATGTACATCCTGAGATTTAAAAAAAAATAAAATCGATAATGTTGTGAACAATTAAAAAAAATCAAACATACTAAGCCACTAGTCTAATTTTTATTATCCATTTAAAAACCAATATATTGATTTATTTATCCTCACTACCCTTTAAATATCTCTGCTCTCAGTTGATTTTGTTTTTTTTTAAACGTGTACATGTCCAAACCAATAAAACATATAAAATCCCTGATGATGATAACAACAACAACAACAACAAAAAAAACAATAATAATAGTAAAAAGTTATCAAAATCATAATTGTAATTCTGGGAATGAAAATTAGAAAGCTTTGCACTGTTTCACAACCGATTCATATTTAACCCCACAGGTGCAGGAGAAGTTTATACTGTCTCAACTGGTTCTATATAAGATTATTTGGGTAGACCCTTTTGAAAGCATATTATCACAGTCAATAATTAGTCTCTGAAAAAGAAAAAGTTCACGCAGGTTATCAATTACTATATATAGCCTCTGCCTGGGAGGTGTCTGTATATTCATCTGACATGTCCTACTGGAAAAATAAAAATAAAATAAAATGCAAATATCCATTAAACAGTGCTATGGTTATTTATAATGCCATATCTCCCAATACACGTTTTACTGAATTATCACAGCACCCTCCTACAGCACTCCCTATTACTATATTAATTAGAGAATGAATGACTCCCCTTTCTTCTAATAAATACGTACTGTAGGCTTCTTCCAAGGAGCTATCTAAGAGATAACTGTGCAATAAGATGAGGGTCTGACTCTGTACCATCCCTATTCACTAAGCAGGCAAAATAGAGCAGGGTAAGGGAATGACGTCACACAGTCTTAGGGGTACAGGAACTGCTTGCACAGCCAGCAATGTGTATGGGTCTATGGCTCCTGGACTTCTTGTTGTATAGCTGGCTATAAACAGCAAAAGCGCAAGCTCTATGTTTTTGGTGTTTTTTTCTTTTCTTATTTTTTAATCTGAAAATATAGTTTAGAATTACTTTAGAGTAAAAGGCAGTGTTGTCAATCTCTACAAGACACCAGTTAAGCTGGACATATGCGCTGTGTGAATAGGGTTGGTAACTTTGCCCCACAGCCCTTGGGTACTGCCATCATCTGTAGATCTCATTAAAGGTAAGAACTATAGTGATTGGAACATGTGAAGGTTTGGCTATAGCAACAGTTTCTTTTATCTTGCTGTGACTTTCAGAAACTACACATAAAATGTATTTATGCAGTGTTTAGCCTTCATCAGTGAGGTGCTTTAGTAGTACACACGTTAGAGAAATATCTATGTATATACACATAAGTGTTATAAGTTAACCTAGGCGTGTGTTTAGCAATGCCAAGATCATAATGTGTGTATTTATTTACTTATTTATTGTTTGGTTACTTGACTTTGTGTATATACGTTTTTGTGTGTGTGTGTATATGTGTATTTTTCTTTTTTTTAATGTATACAAGTGTGTAACTTTTAAACATTTACACTAACCTGCATAACAAAATCTTTGCGAGTATATATATATATATATATATATATATATATATATATATGTGTGTGTGTGTATGGATGTATATGTATATATACACACGCACATGTATGTATAAAGATAATCTAGAATATGTATATTTAATCATGTTTGTAGTTATAGTCACAATGAATGTTGTGCTTACTGCTATTCAATTTTTAATCCATGCGAATGATTCTGCGTGCATTTCTACAAATAGGAGATATACGTATGTAAATATATTCACACTACATATACATTTACATATACATGTATGTATATATATATATATATATATGTACATACATATATATACACATATACAATATTTATTTATCTGTGTGTCTATATACATACATACATGCATACATACAGATAGATATACATATACACATCTAAACACACACACACACAACAATGTTTATATGCCAATACACTATTACGAAGTAGGATTATAAAATAAAAAAACATGCATGCTTTAGACCTGATGCATAAAATATAAATATTGAAATATTACTGAATAGATAACATAATAATACGGAGGTGCAGCTAGCTGATTTTTGCCAATAAATAATGATAATATTTTAGTAATTTTAGTATACCTTTTCTCGAGTAATAGGTGTCAGTCTGGATGCCCGCAATCCCTTCACCTGTGAATAGAAGGCTAGATTATCCAGCAGTTTGTTTTTCTTACAATTCTGTCAGTTTACAGAACAATTTGGAGTCGAGTTCCATGTTGCTGTACCCAAGGATGTGGCGAGTTCTATCTTTGACCCAATATGGTGGTTTTCTCTGAAGCTTTAGATCTGCCAATAAAGAGATGTAATTCCTGGTTATAGTTTGTAGACCCGCACACCCCATTCCTGCGCTTCACCTGAGCCTTTGTACTGCCTTACAATAAGTGCGTTTTACACGCAGGGGAGCAGATCGTCCTTGGGAGGAAAAATTATCTTTGAGGTGTAAGAAGACACTTAAATGCATAACCAACAAGCGTTTAAAGGGTTAACCAACCTTGCCTTGCGTCTGGCACAGCACTGGTATAACTACACTGGCACAGGACATCTAATATTGAAACTGATTTTTATTTACATCAAACATTGTATTTACCTGTAATGGTGTAATCATAATGTTTCATTTTTGTGTTAAAATATCTCATTCTCAACTATAGTGAAATATACACGTGTTGCACACATAGAGAATATTGCACTGAGCCCATGTAGGTTACAATAGTGGAAATTGAGTGAATAGGTAAATTCTGTGAATGAGTTTAGCAAATCTAGATTGGTGAATTTGACCTTGTGTAAGATAATATTACATTGTTACATGTGCCATAGACATCCATTTAAAGGCTTATCAATAGTATACACTGTTGCAATCTGTTTCTATTCAGAATGGAGAGGGGTCTGTTTACCTTGAGCTGACCTGTTCAACTTTAACCCTCAAAATAATACATTTGACAAAATGGAAAAGGAGAAAGACAGGGGAAGAGGGAGAGAGAGAGGCAAGTCTAGGAGTCCCAGATAAAACCAATCTCCTCTGTCTGTGACGGTTTGATTATTTTATTGTAGCCGGACCTGCCTCGCTGTATACATTGCACCTTCAACTTAAATCGTTAGAGAATTCCTAGGGTTGACATATCTATTTATACATCGTTTGATCTCTCCATATTGCAGATAGCAGCGTACACCAAGGAGGGAGAGAAAGGGTGTGTGTTGGGGGGAAAGGGGATATTCTGCACTTAAACATTTATACAATGATCAAAATATAGAGATATAAAATTATTTTTTTTTTTAATTAAAAATCATTTCCAAGGCCGAGATACGCAGTGAGATGTTTCTGGTTTGTTATGGTGGGATTTTGAAGAGGGTGATCGGGGTTTTTTAGCGAGAAATCCTTATAGTTACTGGATGCACAGAGTCCCCTGGCAGTGGAAGGGTTAATGGAGGCAGGGGGTAGGCGGAATTAGATGTGGAAGGCGCATGGTTAGAAGGGCATGGCAGAGCAATGGATGAGGAGATCTGGAGATATGTGAGTGTGAGTGGAGGGGATTCCTAGTGGCAGTGGGGCAGTGAGTGGCTCTGGTTGGATAGTAGAAGCACTTCCAGTGTGTGCCCCACTCACTCCCCTCCCCATCATTACACTACGCTCTGTGCAACAGAACAGCTTGTATTTCTCTCTATCCAACTCACACTGCCCTCCAGAGAGAGACACACAGAAAGGAGAGACAGGAGGAGAGTGCAGGGATCCAGCAGCCATCACACATCACAACGCTGCCCTCTCCATAACCCTATCTCCAGCAACTTGTCCCCATCTCTGGGTGGAAGAAGATCCCCTCCATGGTATTGATAAGGGCTGGATTTATCTCTGTCCCTGTGTCTCTGGCAGGCTGAGTGTTTGCAGGGAGAGATCCTGTGAGCTCGGGATGAGATCCGAAGCTTTTCTTGCTCTCACATAGCGGTATGAGGAAGATCTGTCTCTCCACCCCGCTCATCTCCCTCTATCTGCCTGTGATTGCTTGATAGACTGCGATAAGGATTGTGCCGTCATTCCATGGAAGCCATCCAGCCTGGGCCATCATTCCTTTGGAACGCTCAGGATTGAGCACATTCTTATTACTACAGGAACCAACACGGGCCTTTCCAAGACAGCACAGACAGCAGGGCAGGCACAGGTATTGTTCTACACTTAACCCCCAAATCATAGCACAGCTCTAGGACAGCTCGGGGGCTGCTGGGCTCCAGCCCTCACTAGCCATTAGCCAGGCAGGGGCTGTAGCAGGGTGTTTGACTGAAATATCACTTTATTTGTATTTATTGTTTTTGTGGTTAAGGTTTATTTTTGTGTGTGGATGAGAGGGCTTGTTTAAAAAGCAATTGCCATTATTTCTATTTTTTTATACAGAGGCCTCTTTTGAGAAGTTAGGCTGCAACATAGAAATATGTTTTGCAAATTACTTGTATAATGTATATGCATTGCTATATTTTATATTATACCAATTTGTTTTATAATGATATTTACATATATATATATATATATATATATATATATATATATATCTCATTGGCAAGGCACGTGACTGGTGGCTGCATGTGTTAAATATTGTAATTTATAGAATATAGATTGATTATCTATCTATCTGTCTATCTGTCTATCTATCTATCTATCTATCTAGTAGATTGTATATATGTGTGTGTGTGTGTATATATATATATATATATATATATATATACATACATACATGTGAGGGGGGTAAACATATAATCTATACTATTGATATAATTACGAATATATTATATGTATATGTAAGTATTCACATAAATCCACAATGTATATGCACGCACGTGAATGATACTATTTTTGTACATAAACACAGTTTGTATATACATTGTATTTATTTGTCCATGTACATGCTCATGTATCAAGACATTTCATTATACATAGTGAGCACATTTTATTGTACACTGGAAACAATAATAAAAATAATACGCAATATTTTCTGTTGCTGTAGGTTAGGCTACTAATTTAGGTGAATGGCCTGTAATAATCCGAGGGTCAGTGGAGCAATGTCCAGGTCTTTTGTTGCTGTGCACCTGTAGGATAACAGACCATAAGTCTTGTCACTTGCAAACCCAGTATACGCAGAATGTAAATATTACTTATTGTACAAGAGAACAAAATCTTTTACAGCACATGATTGAATTAAAATAAACTATAACCACCATCATAAGCAACAACAGAACATCCTTAGATATTTTATTTTTTATTGGTTTTGCTTTAAAGCATCTTGCAGATTTTTTTTTCATTATATTTGTATATATTATTTTAGAGTTTCACTTTACTTCAAACTAGTAAATAAACCCCATGCGTATAGAAAAACGTATTAACAAATGTATATATATGTTCGACAGACATATGTAGAGGTGCATGAATATACAAATTTGTTTAAACAAATATAGACTCAAACACATAAGTATACAAGTATATGTGTAGGCATGTATACACATATATATGTACACAATGCCCACATAAAAAAATAATAATTATATATATATATAACAAGGGGTTGGGTGTATTGTGTATATATATATATATATATATTTAAAAGAAAATTTTTAACAGGTCTATAAATATATATATATATATATATATCACTCATTTATTTCATACATATATACATTATATTTTATTATTGTTATTATTTTTATTACTGTTGTTACTATTATTATATAGGGACACATTTGATTTTCTTAGAGAGTACAATAGTTTTTTGTTAGGTGTTTCTTTTTAAATGTATTTAACAAGTATTTATCTTTTTTTTTCTCTAGTTAATCAGTAGTGAATTATAAACAACAACAAAAACAATTCTTAGAGGTCTGTCTTTTTTCAAGCATTTATAGTAAAATCCACGTGTTTCCATGTGTAGTGGAAAAGGACCTATGTAGACATTTGAACTGTCCAGTCACATAAAGCTTCCTGCAGGAATGCTAGCTATCTATACAGGGGCTGATTGGGAGCAGCATTAGTTGGGAACGATTTGGGATTAATTAGAAGTCATTGTGAATGCATATACAGTAGAAAATGCCAGACACAATATGTGATAGGCTCCCAACCCTGTCCCACTGCTTCCAAAATTGTCTTATCTTTATTAGACTGTTCAGGGAGAAGGACACAATTCTGGCATCATTAGAAGCAGCAATAAATAAAGGAAGATCGATTATATATAATTATATATCACACATGCACATACCATTGTGTGCGCGCGCATGTGTGTGTGTATATGTGTGTGTGTGTGTCTGTGTATATGTGTTTATTTAAATAGCTAAACACATTGTAAAATAATATATGTATATACACATATTTCACATCTTTCTAGCACTTTCTGCTTCATAGAACATTAAATCTGAACTTTTATTTGTGATTGGCCTGTTTACTTTCTCTTTCTGGGCCTGTTTGGGTTTCCTCTATTCAGATAAATTTTTCCCGAGCTGACATGATTTTCTATGAGGTTGTGACCGTCCTATAGACAGAGTGATTGACACTTTATTAGTGAGTGGGGTGGGAGACACAATGCATGGCTTACTAGGAGTGACAGACACATGTCTACTCTACATAGGGATAATCATACAGCGCTCAGCGCCGAGTACCCTGTCATACAGACTTTTACCTTAGTTAGAGCTCAGGGCTAGTTACAGAATGTGGGACAGACAGACAGTATACAGAAGGTCTCTGCGTGCACTGAATCCCACACAGAGCATACCATGTGTACACAGAGCGCTATGTAACCTCCAGCTCTCTCAGTGCAGGGCTCCTCTGTAACATGGCGGACACGGAGGAGGCATATGGGATGCCTGATACCCCAGTGGAACCAGACCCCAAAGAACTGCAGTGTGACCCCAAACAGGACAGCCAGCTGGGGGGCACCAGCAAGACCCCCACCTCGCCACAGGCTGCCTTTACTCAGCAGGTAAGAGAAAAACATCAAGCACACACACACAAACATACGGCAAACAATAACACACACACACACACACACACAAACATACAGCAAGCAACTGCACACACAAACCTACATACATCAAGTAACTGCACACAAACATACAGAAAGCAACTGCACACACACATACATACATACATACATACAGCAAGCAACTGCACACAAACATACAACAAGCAACTGCACACTCAGACAAACATACAGCAAGTAACTGCACACAGACACAGAGTGACACATATAGAATAGGGACACTATATATGCAGGGTTATTTAATTCAAGGTGGATTCAAAGTGAATTTCAAATTTAAGGCCAGAGTAGCTGAATGGAAAGCACAGCTGATTTAGAGAATGTTTCCAGTTCGGCTATTTTGACCTTAAATTCGAAACTCACTTTGAATTCACCTTTGTATTCTCACTGTAGTGCATAATCCTGATAGATAGATAGATAGATAGATGACAATAAAGTAAAAACATATACACGGAGTATATGTTTTTACTTTATGTTACTTCTAAATATATACAAACACAAAATCTATATATTAAATCTTCATATAGGCAGCCACTAGTTTCCTGTAGCAGGGCTAACAATATACATGCACTTTAGCTATATACAATATAGAAAACATTTATACACATGTACAAATAAAACATATACCAGATATAAGTATGCTATATTCATGGTCTAGAACGATACCACGTATACCTAACATATATATATTTATTATTTTTTAAAACATACACGCGCTGTATCTTAACACTAGAAATACAGATAGCATAGTCAAGCCTTGATATTAATATACTATGTATATACACTAGTTCTAGATATACATATGTGCATGTACTATGAGTAAAGGCATATCTATATACAAGTTTATATACGTACAATAAATAAACAAACATATAGTTGATCCAGTGCTGATATATAAGGACTATATCGTGGCTATACACATATTCATTAATTATAAAGTACATCTGTCTGTTCAAGTCTTGACTGAGCTGATCGTCCTAAAAACAATAGTTTAAGTTTCGTTTTCTAAGCTAGTTTTGAAGTTTATAAATGAAGGATCATATCACATATGGTTTTTATAGGCAAGCCGTAAGTAATGTATTAAGACTTCCCACATTTTTGGCGAGGAAAATAGAGTGGCAATTATATGATAAAAAAAACTTCTTATTAGTGGTATTTTCACTGAGCTATAGACAGCCCTTAGGATATTTTTAAGTATCGATGCAGTGCATAAAATGATGTTACTGAACTGTCGTTAGGGAAAAAACAAGATAGTCATGTTCCATAAAACTTTGTGATTTTTAACTCCTATAATGTTCTTCTATACTTTCTATCTAGTTTGTTGCAGTTCGAACCTTTGTAGCTGTATCTAATATCTCTGTTTTCGTTCGGTAGTATTTATCCTGTTAGGCGATGCACAAATGTTATTCTTCTTTGCAACATTAATTACAAAGTATAAAGACATACAATTAACTGAATCGTGTTTTTTTTTTTTTTGTACTAGTGCACTTTAATGTATATGGTAACAATTAAAGCTCACAACCCTGTATTAAAAAAATGAATTTATTATAAACTTTTGTGGTATAGCTCCTATACAGTTAATTGTTGACACTTGAGAGATGGTTTGCACAATTTAGTGATCACGTTAAGCAATCCCCCACTTCATTTTATCCAACACTGGTATTTTGGGGGGAAATTGTGACATTCATTTCTCATCTCACTGTTTAGTGAATCCACTACTTGATTTTCAAAGCATCGAAAGGCATCTCTCTGTAATGTGGTCACTTTTATATTATCATAATATTATATTTAATTGTATTCTTATTTTGAAAATTATGTTATTCAATATTATATTTAGTACTTCTTTTTAAAAAAAAAATATATTTTATTCTTATGTAACCAATTCAACACTCACACAGAAAAACTCTTAAAATCACAGCCTGGGCCGTACCTTTCATGTTATATTGATATGAAATGGGACTAAAAGAGGTTTATTGTCAGAAGGAAATTAAATCCTGAATATATATTTTTTGTACTCAGAAATTTCAGTTAAATTAAAACTAAGGTAATGTTAAACTTTTTCTACAAGTTATATAAATTCTATATCTTAAACATGGCAACACAGCACAAGAAAAAACAATATTTTATTATTATTATTGATTATTATAATAATAATTATTATAACTATTATAATAATAGTAATAATAATTATTATTATTATTAATAATAAGAAGAAGAACAACAACACATATCCTTCTATGAAAATATATTTGAAAACCAAACACATTAAAAACAACACAATTCTATTAATTTCCCCCCCAGAATTTCTATCTGTGGTTATTATACTCTATGTTATATTTGTATTATTCTATCGTTGAGAGTGTAATAACAAGCACACCCCTCTTTTCCTAGGGCATGGAAGGTATTAAGGTGTTTCTGCACGAGAGGGAGCTGTGGATGAAATTTCACGAAGTTGGCACCGAAATGATAATTACTAAGGCTGGACGGTAAGAGAATAGCAAACGTTCGCGAGTTCTGAGAGCGGGATCTGGGGAGTTCATTCTGTTCAAATCCTTAATTAATCTCACGTCCTAGCCAATTATTTTGTTCATTAAACTGGCTGTCAGGATATAATAAAAAACAGGGCTAGCTCACAAGGGTCTTTCATATTCCTTACTGTAACTGTAAAAATGTCCCAGGCTGCGATCCAGTCAGGGGAATGTTTGTAGAAAAGGATCAGAGGGAAAGAGGATGAAATGAATGAAAGAGCAGGGAAACATGAATGATATCGACAGGATATATTTTTATTTAGAAAATAAACTTTTGCCTGTGAGTGTGACTGACAGACAGACAGACAGGCTGAACCAGTGACGGGAGAGGGGGGTTAAAACGGGGGATCGGCGACTGTAATAGACCTCTATTGGTGGGGTAAAGATTTTAAAGATTTCTTTAAAAAGAACAAAGGTTTCAGGAGAAAATTAAGGAAAACGAAAGAAAGAAAGAATCACAGAGAACAAAGAAAAAAAAATGAACCAAAGTCCAGATAACAAGAAAACAAAAAAATAAATAAACAAGTCACATAAAAGTAAGAAGACACTAAACACTCTGCAAAATTAAATGACAAAATATTGGAGGAAAAGTGAATGAGAATATACTAGAACATACACAGTAACGAATATACAGAGAGGAGGTTTCAGAGGGCAAGGAGTACAATAAAGGGCTAAGGAGACCAGGAATAGAGCAATCAGAGATCAATGAGCCATTACTCTCTGTAGTAGTGTGAGCTGAGCTGCAGACTGGATTTACTAATGGCTGAGACCTCTCCTCACTGCATGGAGCCAGTCCAGGAGATCTCCTCACAGCTGGCTCAAGATTTACTATAACAAACTAATAGAGACATTTCCTTCCAGACCTCAGGCTAGAGTTCTTTCCACTTGTCTTTAAATAATAAATAGTGTCTCAAAATCCATCCATCTATCCATCCACCCTACAGAGTCAATCAGAACTTTATTTTATAGGTCTGATGAGAAAGTAATGTATAAAATCAATCACTATTCTCCATCTAAACGGAAATTAGAAGCTTATTATGAAATACATTATTTTGGTTCTGTACAGCATTTCCATTAATTGGCCCCATGCAGGTTTTTAATCAGCACCATGATTTAACAAACAGGAGAAATTGAACATTCTCTATTTTGTTCAGCATGATATCATGTATATAATGTGAATTTCAAGGTGTGTTGGGCATGTTTTAATATTTTGCGTTAGTAAGGTAAGATGTTTGATAGAAAATGAGTTACTCTAAGATGTACTTGGATAAAATGATTATGTGGGATTGGGGGGGTGGGGGGGAGGGGAGGGTTGGTGTGACAGATAGCAGAACAAAGGGTGCTTGGCATGAAAAACATGATTAACTGTTCAAATAAGCTAAGGTGCTAATTTCAAAGTATAAGGACATGTTTCTAGCAAAGCATGGGCAAAGGGTGTCAGGTGTGTCCAGGAACCCTAATACAGGGCCAAAATGCCCTCTATGTATACCGTTTACATCTCTTTGGGCACTTTGTGAAGTTAGCTGAATTTGTTTTTAAGTAAAAGTCACCCTGCATCTATATACACCCGGTCACTTCATTTTTGAAACGTTTTTGTATTTAGTAAAACTGAGATTATATTTTTCTCTTGGTGCACACTCCTGTCCCTTATGAGTTCTTTATGTATTATCGTATAGATTTATTGTATAGATTTTAGAATTCCGACCTGTTTCCTAAAACTAGATTCTCACTCAGCCTGCACTTTCAGTGGTGCAGTCCTGTTCCTGTGTGTGTATGATAAACTTATCAATAAGTATGATGGGTAGGAATATGTGTATAACATGGTGTGTGTGTGTGTGTAAGGAAGAGATTATTTCAAGAATGAAAATATAGAAGACACTGTGTTTTCTACGTTTTGCTTTTCCAAGCCAATAAATATACCATATGCATAGCTATCTAAAATGTTCCCTCTTACATGTTCAAAACTGCTATTTGTGAACAAATTTACCAGTACAGGCTATTGATCAGTTACTCAAATAGAGTGGGCCATACTCTTAGGAGACGTGATTAGGATATATAGCCATGTATTCTATATTCTATATCCTGTAGATATACAGACAGATATATAGGATAGATAGACAGACAAGCAGGCAGACAGACTAAAACAAGAACTTATTATTAAACTTGGAGATTTGTATCCAGTGACTGTACAAATTCCTGAACTCTAAACCTAAAGTAGCGGAATCACAAGCCAAACGAATTGCGCAATGGATAATATTAGTTTTGATTTGTGATTTGCAACCCCACCAGTGATGCCAAAAAAAGAGATGATTGATGGGTAGGGAACAGCTAGTAAATGTTGACTTTATTCACATATCACGTGTGAAATCATCAATAGAGGAAAGGAAGAGGAGCAGTAGAAAACAAATCTACATTTCTATAATATATATTTAATACATATATAGTATAAAAATCAAGCCATATAAAACTACAAACTCACTTACAATAAATTAAAAATACCTGTATTTTATGCCTTGCGAGCTTTGGCAACGTACTTTTGGATGGTCTTAACCTTCCTATTTTATATGTAAGAAATAAGCAGTTGCAAAAAAAAAAGTGAATTTTGTAAAGATGGTGCATGGATTAGAGAACATATTATATTCAGTATATAATTACAACCCCATTCTTTCAAGAGACCATTACTGTAGCGTGGGGTAACACACACCTCTCCCTTGCATTCTAAGAAAAGCTATTTACAAAAGTATAGTCTACTATTAAAATGTGGTTTAACCATGAAAGGGATATCCTAAATATGATGCTATTGTATAACTAGCCTCTTTCTCATAACAATGTGTACACTCATGCTAAAGTTTGGTCTGTGTTGCAAAACCAGCTTATCTCTTTTTGATCTGGTGCTATTTTTTAGACTGTAGAGACTCACATTTCTCTGCCCAGGCACTATTATATTCCTCTGCACTTCTGCAGAGGGTTTTAAATGTGAAGCCTTTCATCCCCTCACCCACGCCCTACGACAGGGGTGCCCAAAAGGTAGATCCCCAGATGTTTTAAAACTACAGCTTCCATAATGCTTTGCCATTCTAAAGCATTCTAAAGTCATACAAAGCATCATGGGAGTTGTAGTTCTACAACATCTGGGGATCTACCTTTTGGGCACCCCTGCTCTACATAAGCTGTTAGCATTCTGCCTGGCAGGCTGTGAGGAGGAGGGAATAAGGGCTCTGAGCCCACCAAGTTTGATACAGAGATTCTATGCAGCTTGCAATTCATAGTTTTCTACAGATACTTAATGTAGCCATTCAGGTGGCATTTTAAGATACATACGCATTCCCAGAAATACTATCAGATTTGACCATTTGTATCTAAATTGTCACACACTGTACATACTGTATATGACAAAAAGAAGCTTTTCTGTTTCTATGCCAATATTTCAGAATTAGTGATGTCCCGAACGGTTCGCCGCGGACTCATCATTGAGTAAACTTTGACCCTGTAACACACAGTCAGCAGACACATTCCAGCCAATCAGCAGCAGACCCTCCCTCCCAGGCCCTCCCACCTCCTGGACAGCAACCATTTTGAAGCTGCATTCTTAGTGAGCTGTCCAGGAGGTGGGAGGGTCTGCTGCTGATTGGCTGGAATGTGTCTGCTGACTGTGAGGTACAGGGTCAAAGTTTACTCAATGATGAGTCCGTGGCGAACCGTTCGTGGCGAACCGTTCGGCGAACCGTTCGGGACATCACTATTCAGAATATTTAAAATCTCTTACCTTATCCCCCAATATTTCTATAAAGGATCAGTGAATAAACAAATAATTCAGGTTAAATCCTACTCCACTTTTCTTTTAAATGACAAAGCAGTTGGAATACATTTTTTTGATTAACTGACCTTTTATTATCTTTCTGACCTTGACCAAAAGGTCATCCTCACTATACTGGGATCTTCACTTACATGAACAGTGAAAGAGGAGTTAATAAATAATCAAGGGAGATAGTTGCAAAGACATGGAAAACTAGAGATAGTGTTATTCTGGTTTTATTGGACTGGATAAAACAATTATGACAAAGTTGTTTCACTTTAGCTTTACCCTCTTTTTATAGATATATATATGCATAAAGCAATATGTATGTAGAATTTGTTTGATTGTTATGTTCTTTGTTTACCAGTTTTGTAACAGCAATATGCTGAACAGAAATATATGTAGATACTTTTAAAATAATCACAAGGTGTATTAATTCAAGGGAGACATTTTATAAAAGAAAAAATGTAGTTAAAAACTAGATATGGACATTTGGTTTAGTCCAAACTGCAATTTGTCCAAATTTTGGCCAATTGGGTGCGTGGCGGAATTCCTAAGCTCGAAGCCGAAATGTAACCGAAGTACAAAGCAAGTGAAACGCGCAGTGGTCGATTATGTTCGTTTTGGGTATATTTCAGCTTTGATTCCGAATACTGTCCATGGAAACAAAAAAAGAGATGATTGATGGCTAGGGAACAGACACTATGGAATCTATGCACATGTAATGCGAGAAGTGAGCAATAGAAGGGAAAATAGGTGGTGCAGTAAAATATATTAAATATTTAATAAATATATAAATATAGTTTTTGTTTACTGCTCCTCCTGTTACTGTTTTTTCTCACTTGATCTTTGAACAAAATGGTGACATTCGGCTAGAATTCATGCGTCCCCAAGATTTTTCTGTTTTGGGAAAAATGGTTCAGCCTAGTAAAAACTGCTCAGCTCACTCATATCTGTAAATAACCTCCTTTGCGCTTGATTACAACTGCTCTTTTGCTGTGTTTGATGTGAGTGAGAATCCAGTATTAGGAAATAAGTATTAGCAAATCTATACTTATAACACATATAGAAACATGTACCTATATATTTAATTGACATGTGCATAGTTTTATATATATTTATATGTTTTTGCATATGTGTGCATGTTTGTGTGATTGCAAGTACTTTTATTAATATAGTAAATATACATGTATCAAATACATTTGTGTGAGAAATGCTGTTCCCTTTAAAAGAAACAAGTACTGTAAATAGTTAAAGCTAAATCTCTATTTAAAACATAAAAGTACATTTTTAAAACAAGGTTTGTGTATAAAATCTCAGAACTCTGAAAGCTCAGGTGATAAATTGGACTCTCCAAATACTTAGGCATATCTCGTTTCCTTTGAGGAGAGAAAATAGCTTTTACTGCAGTTTTGTTTAAAAGATAAAATAGCAGTATTAGTTTTAAACGTTGTGCCAAAAGTCCGGGTAAACCAGAGATATATATACAGAGAGTCACTAGGCCTCTTTGACGAAAGGACGAAAATTAAAAAAAATAAGTGTTTTCTATGGAGTAAGTATTATTATGCATTATGTAAAAACCATGGGGTTATATAAAAGAAAATATATATTTAGAGAGTGTGACTTATTATTATTTTTTTAGAATTTGTTTGTTTTAATACATGTGGGCTGGGCATCAATACTGCCTGTCTAATGGCTGTCTAAGAGAAACAGGAACTGTAGTGTGTCTAAAGACAGGGGCTCAATGTTACCTATTAAGGGGTTAAATAAAAGTAACTATAAACATAGAAAAAACATATGTGAATATTATCACAGAAGTACAGTGCAGGTTTTCATATATTGTTATTGTTTACAGTATTTTACATTTCATTTAGGGGTCTATTTGTTGGCCTTTTTTTTTTGCCTTTATCAACTCACCCTAGGTAGTAGGCTTATTTACTAGACACATGATTGCAGAGAAATGCAAATGGAGTTAATTAATTTAGGTTAACACACATAAATTTCAAATTGTACTGCAAATTAATAATGCACATATGCGGCGAACTCTGCAAGTGCATTAGACCCTCCCAATAGAAAAGCATTGGTTCAATGCCTTTCTACGGGATTCTACTGATGCTGGACATCCTCATGCAGAGCGTGAGGATGTCCAGCCTCAATTAGGCAACAAAACGTTGGTTAGCCACCAGGAAGTGTCTCTAGTGGCTGCCTGATCTAGAGGCAATCTTATCTTTCAATGTAATTATCAAAAACTGCAATGATTTACATTGCAGGACTTAGTGGGACTGGGATATTGCACCAAGACCACTTCACTGAGCTTGTCTTAGTGTCCCTTTAATGTGCCAGGAGTGCCCTGGCGCCCCTTCTAGTGTAAGACTTTAAACCATTTTAGAATGGGTGCCACGCTAGGCATCCACCAAAGCTCAGTGAAGATAGATTCTTGCTCTCACTGAGCTTTGGTGGATGCAGGACTTAACTCATTGGATGAGAGCTACCAGCCTGCTGCTCTAACTGAGCTGTAGTGGAGGCACCTGGTGGACCACAGATAACAAGTAAAACAAGTCTAAAAGAATGAGAGCATTAAGCCACTCCTGACACCAGGTGGTAATTATGGTACTAGGCATATGCCTTTAACTGTAATGTTTTGGTAATGAATGTGTATATATATATATATATATATATATACACACCCTTTTCCTAAAAAAAAAGAATTTGAAACCATAACCCTTTGTATCACACATGTTTGTATATCTTACAGTAATTTGGGAATTATTTGTTTCTAGATATATGTTGTGGCACATTATAAAACTTCTATAGTATTTTGAGAACAATCGTAGCATAAATAGCTGAACCGAAACAGATCAATTTATTAATTATATGGTAGTTTGCTGTTTAGTGGATTCACAAAGTACTATTAGGTTGTGGGATATTTATTAGGAAGCAACGAATACAATATTGCTGGATAGATAATGGTGCATAGGTGGTTCTGCTGTTTGAATTGCAGGCGGTGATATTGGATGGATGTGTTAGGAATGATATTGTATCAGAATTCACAGCAAGTTGCTGTCCTATGGAAACCATTACTAACATTGTGTAGCTTTAGAATCAATAGATGTTTGTAAGTCTAGGTTAATGTAAATTTAGGTCACAATAGCTCCAAGTCAGTTTTTTATTATATAACATGCAATTTCATTGTCGACCTCACAATTCCCATTTTAGCACATACATTCCTTATCTTGTTGATATTGCAATGTTATATGATGAAAGGAACCCAAAACCCCCTTTCATCACCATTTTTTTTATTGAGAGTGAAATACTTCACCTTTTGACCAAATAGAATAAGTAAATTCAAGTTTCAGCAGTATTGACATGGTGCATAAAGAAATAATGGAAGGCAGGCACGGTAAATTATTGGGGCAGGGATGAAGACACGGGACAGGAAAAGAAGAATAATGGGAATGATAATAAGGGATGAAAAGGAGTTTACTTATTTCTAAATCATTGTTCTGCAGCTCATTTTCTGTCTTAAATAGATAATTTAGAATAATGGATGCTCCATTCAAATCTATTTAAAATAACTGAGATTCTGTAATATTTGTTGACTTTGGTTTACATATCTGAGTAATCTACTAATCACATGCTTCATTAAGTTTCCTTTCTATTTAGCATTCAGTTTATGATTCAATTTGATAAGCAAGACATCCAAGTCCATTGTTGATTTGACTTACTATTGATGTTTTAAAAACACTATAGCCACCAGAACAACTACAGCTTACTGCGTTTGTTCTACTGAGTAGAATCATTCCCTTCAGGCTTTTTGTAGTAAACACTACATTTTCAGAGAAAATGCAGTGTTTACATTTCAGAATAGGGATAACTCCACTGGCCACTCTAGAGGTGCTCCCTGGGGCACATGAAGACACTGAACTTTCCTCAAAGAGATGCATTGATTCAATGCATCTCTGTGGGGAGATTCTGATTGGCCACAGCTGTATTTGACTTGCGCTGACTCTGCCCCTGATCTGCCTCCTTGACAATTTTAGCCAATCCAATGCTATCCTATGGTAAAGCATTGTGATTGGCTGAGATCAACACTTATGATGATGTCAGCCAAAGAGGCAGATCAGGGGCAGAGCCAGCAGTATAGGGTCAGGAATACATGTTTGTGTTCCTGACCATATAGTGTTTCTTTAATGTAACTCTTTGGGATAGGTGGAAGTGGGAAGATAAATCTAACCCTACAGACAAATCAGCATTGATTCAGTAAGTCACATGAATATGTTCTCCATTTCACTGTTCATCCATCAAACAGCTTTTTTGTCTCTTTGAATTCTATTATTCTATTATTGGTCTAGATTAGCAAAATAAGTCAAATTATCTGAAGACAGTGGCACAGAAAGGATAAGTCACATGTCTGGGTTAATATGCAGAGGGATTTGGATAGATTTGGGGACTGGACACTAAAATGGCAGATTAAATTTAATGTAGATAATTGCAAAGTTATGCACTTCGGGGTTAAGAAAGCCCAAGTAATTTACACCCTAAATGGTAGTGAACTAGGGATAACCACACACGAGAAGGATTTGGGAATTGTTATAGACAACAAATTAGGCAGCAATATGCAATGTCAATCTGCAGTTGCTAAGGCCAGTAAGGTTTTGTCATGTATAAATAGGAGCATAAACGATCAGGATGAAAATAGAATTTTGCCTCTTTATAAATCGCTGGTAAGACCAGACCTTGAATATGCTGTGAAATTTTGGGCACCTGTTCTAAAGAAAGATATCATGGCACTAGAAAAAGTGCAGAGACGAGCTACAAATTTGATAAAAGGAATGGAGCATTTTAGTTATGAAGAAAGGTTAAAAAAAAATGAAATCTGTTTAGTTTGGAAAAACGGCGCCTGAGAGGGAATATGATAACATTATACAAATATATATTCAGGGCCAGTACAAACCTTTATCTGGAAATCTATTCATAAACAGGGCTATACATAGGACACAAGGTTACACATTTAGGCTGTAAAAAAGGAGATTTCATCTAAGGCAAAGAAAAGGTTTTTTTACAGTAAGAGCAATCAGGATATGGAATTCTCTGCCTGAAGAGGTGGTTTTGCCAGACTCATTACAGATGTTTAAACTGCTATTGGATAAATACTTGCAAAAACATAACATACAGGGATATAATTTCTAATTAGTGGGGTAATAGCTGCTTGATCCAAGGAGACAACTGACTGCTATTTTAGGATCAAGAAGGAATTTTTTCCTAGTTTGTTGCAAAATTGGAAGCGCTACAGACTAGGTTTTTTGCCTTCTTTTGGATCAACAGCAAAAACATATGTGAGGAAGGCTGAATTTGATGGACGCAAGTCTCTTTTCAGCTATGTAACTATGTAATACGACAAAGGTAGGACCAGAGGCCCAATGGCTCAGAAGAGGGGGCATTTTATCACAAACACATTTTCTACATTGTGTTACTATGTCATGCTATGAGATCAGTGATGGAAAAATATATTTATTGTTGAAAAAAATGGAGCAATTTTCATAGTAAGCCTCTAAAGCCTCCATGTATAGTAGCTTTTCCTAAAATTACTCACCAAATAGAGTACATGTGACTACGATTACTGCAGTTTTTTTATATATTGAATTGTGTGTGGTGCAGGCCACATATTATACATTTTACATTCAAATTATTTTCTGAATAATTCTGTTGTGTATTCAGTATACAACAGAAGAGAAAAATAAATCTGACTGCAACTGTTTTGCACATTATATAAGCATCACTTTTCAATAACACTGATGCAAGCAGTTTCTTCTCTTGTGTTTCCTTCTTCTGCAGTGATTTAATCCCAGTAGGTCCTGGAGACTCAGTCTCATATTTGTCCTTAGACATTTCATTTTAGCCCTGTCTTCTTCTCAGAATTTAGGTTCCATGCAAAGCAGACAGAGTACGAGGCATAAAGTAAAAACAGAACTAATAGAGATGCCCCAACATGTCTTCGTCATGATAGACGCATGTTAAATTGGTTTGTACAATTTCATGCACACATTGTGATCGCATATTTATAGATTTTTATAGTAACCTAAACAAAGATATGATGCTTTCAGTCAGTTCTTTGCGCAGAGGTCTATGCTACCAGTATGGCACATTAAAGGGGATTATATGTATTCTGTTTACTTATCCCTATATTCCACAAATATGTATTTGTAAGGTGTGAAAACTAAAAGTAGAATTACCCACTATCTCGTCCGTCATAGCTTATAAATTCTGTTCTTTGAACCTGTCGATCTACATAGAGAAAGCATACAGAGAATAGGAGAAATTAAACAATGTTCCTATTTCTCTTCTTCATTTGCAATGTTTGCCCCGGCTTTGTCTTATCTGAACTAAATTATGATGTCATTTGCCAAATCTTGAAAATATATATGAAAGAAAACAGAGCGTCTCATTAAAAAAAGGTTGACACACAAGAGATGTGACAGTACACCTTTAATCCACGAGGAGATAGGGAGCACCCTCCTATTGTTGGTAAATACAAATATAAATATCTCCTTTCCATGCATCTCTTAGCTTACCCAAATTATGTTGTAGTGACCATCGTTAAGTTGCCTTTTGTCTCTTATTCAACCAAGCAACTGAGAGCCAGTGTGCAATCCTGAGTCATGATGTCATGCACACACTCAGAACAATGGGGTGATTCCAAACAAAGATGATTAAGATGGCAGCTCTCTTGAAAAAGGAGGTGCTAAATGTATATATAACAAAATAATACACACAAAGGCTATGTCACATGCAGGCTTTGATAAGTTAAAAACAATTTTGTTCCAGGGGTGTGCACAGGACTGTACTCCAGTGACATATTCATCATCCCATACTGAGTCTGTTTATTTTTCACTCTGTTTCGATGGCATGAGCAGCATCCTACAAGTTCTAGTGGAAATGTACATTAATAAATACAGTTTAAAACCTGTCTTGCCTACATGTGAATTTTTTTTACATTATGATAAACAATGGAAAAAACGATGGAAAACAATGATGCACGCAATGTGGTGTAGAATTCCCATGTGTCTATGCATTAGGTGAAATACTTGTAGAAAGCGTGGTGTTTGGAAAATGGCTATCCCTACGGACTGTCTGACTGTCACACGTAAAAGTGAATTTTTGCCACTTCAGGTAAAAGTGAAACAGAAAGTCCCTTGTCACACTAGCAGGTCCCTTTGGGTGAATAGCTCATTTGAAAGCGGCATCTGTGCAAGTTCTTCCAAACAAATGTTTTGTAGCTATTCTTTGATATCAAACTACTCTCCTCCCTTGCTTGGCGGTTCTCACGTTTTGGCTAGTGAGTGCTTCACTTGGAAATGCCTCTACTGGGTGGAGTTCCTCTCCTCCCGGGAAGCAGCTAGGTGCCTAGATTTTTATTGTTAAAATTTCTAAAGTGGGCATTTGCTGGGGCGGTCTTCCCACATGCTGCGCTGCTAGTAGTGGCTATTTGGGATTCCATAAAAAAATTTTTTTTCCCAAATTTGAACTCCTCCTTTCCCCTCTTTTATTCTCTTCTTTTTTTCTCTTCCCTCCCTCCCTCCTTCTTAGTTTCTACATTTATCAGTTCCTTGTCTCTCCTCATCTTTTCTCTGTAGCCCTCTATTTGGGCCATTTTTTCTTTTTATGAATTATTCCACGTGACATAAAAGCCTGATTTGTCACTATTGATTGAATTTCCCCAGGCTTACACCAGGGCATAATGGTTTAGTAATTCAAGGACTAGCTGCTTACTTTATTGTGCTATATTATTGTGGTACTACTTTACTGCACATTTGCTTTTTGTGCTTTCATTTATTGAATGTATTGTACTCATAACTTTTTTTTGGGGGGGTTACAATTCATCCTGCTATTGTCTTGATATATGTATGATATATATGATCTTTGCCTTTTCTCAATAAATGTTGTTAAACACTGAACACAATCTTGAAACAAAATCAAAGTGTGCTTTTATGGCAAAAAACATACAAACAAACAAAAAAAATAATACAAAACGAAAACAAAAAATCTTGTGAAAGTAAAACTGCTAAGAAAAAGAAATCAACAAATACATTACATGTCGGAGTTATAAATAAATATCTTAAATGCTTTAATACATCACCAACGCATACTAGACAAACATTTTGTTACAAATATATGCTGCCCTGTCACTTAACCCATTGACCCTTAGAGCTTTCCTGATTCTTCATGAACCGCAAGGAACATCTCCAGCTATTACGGCTTCTAACAGAATATGTGGCCATCCTTTGCACAACATAACACCGTGCCACAGACATTTTTGTGCTGGCTGATAAAAAACACAGAGCTTCTCAATTATCTGAGATATGCCAATCTCCAGCCCAGAGCTGGAAATACTGCAAAGGAGATGATTCATCTAATCTATCCAGCACTCTGCCTCTGAGTTTCTGTTTACTCTTTCTAATGTAAAATACATTATTCACTAATGTGAGAATTAAAAGTAAATTTCAAATTTAAAGTCAAAATAGCCAAACTGGAAATATTCGCTAAGTCAGCTATGCTTCCATTTTGGCTGCTCTGGCCTAAAATGTAAAATTCACTTTAAATTCCCTGTTAGTGATATGTTTGTAGAAATATCTATATTAGTGATGCTCAATTACATAATTAACCAGGGAGGATACAGCTGCAGCTCTGCAATTTTCCTATTAAAATGTGTTTTGGCTCAGTCTATAAAACATTTTGGTAGACACTGTAGTTATAGTAAAAAAAAAGTTTAGCAGCAGCTCTTGTTCTGTCATCAATTGTGCCTCAAAGGGAGAGTCTGTGTTGAATTGTAAACATCTTACACATTTTGGTAAATATTCCGTCCAAGTCTAGCAAAGCCATCAATCTAAATTTCTCTGTCAGTCTTTTATCTTAAAGCCATCCTTTCTCTGTCTGCTGATCCAGCCCACAATAACTGGATCCCCCTGTTCTGCTATTCCAGGCGTATGTTTCCCAGCTACAAGGTGAAAGTTTCTGGCCTCAACCCAAAAACTAAATACATCCTCCTCATGGATATCGTGCCAGCTGATGATCATAGATACAAGTTTGCAGACAACAAATGGTAAGCAAGTCTTTATTAATGGCAGCCACTAAATAATAGCAGTTACATACGTTATACATATCAATTACAATTATTTATATAGCGCTAACATATTCCTCAGTGCTGTGCAATAGGTAAACAAGATACACATTTAATTCTAACACATATACAAGAAGAGTAGGTCGAGTGGGCCCTGCCCAAATGAGCTTACAATCTAAAGGTATACATCTTGGAGGAGGAGGGTAGGTTGCATGCAAAAGGGTAGGTTGTCTGGGAGACAGTAGATCAAATTGTACAGGAAGGAACATGGTGACTCAAAAATACATTCTATCCCAGGGTAGCCTGATAAACTCTATACACCTTGACCTTTAGAACTCAGCAAGAGAAAAGGCTATCATCCAAAGAAGGGAGTGTTAAATTCTGATGTGGGATATCTAATATAACAAAGCACGTATATTGCAAATTACAGCATCTCAAACATTTTACCCCTCTGCTCATGTTTGCAATTTGTTTATTGTTCTCCCCTCAGCCCAATGCATTTCTGCTGACATCACTCCCCCTCGCTTAAGGGAGACAGATGTCAGGGAAAAAAGGCTGAGGGGAGAACATGGATGGCTCAGAGGGGGTGGCGTGCCACCATTGCATGTAGTTAAAAGGCTTTTAAAATTGCTAGTGCATTAACAATGTGTATATAAACTCAACTTATAGATAAGTATTGCTATTCCTTTAAATATTAGCCACAGGTTAGGTTTACACAATACCTTAGCTCCTCTGTTTTGGCACAAACATTAAGTCCTGGTCAGCATTGCATAGCTTGGGTTGACGTAACAATCCCTTATAGTAGCTGAATACTTAGTTTTAGCTTAAAAAACTTGCAAGCATGCAGTGATACTTGGGATTGTTTTATATTACATCTTGTTCTACTTAAGAGTGGGCGTTTTGAACATAAACCACAATTTTAAAGATGTGTTTTTGGCCAAGAAGCAGGGAAACACGTTCAGGAGGAGCCATTGATAGAGAAAACGCTTCCGTGGGTAATTGTTTACTGTAACTACTTAGTTCTATAATCAAAATCACACCCCGCAGGCAAGTTTGCAAAACAGATTGAGAAAAGCAGGAAACAAGGACAACAACAGATGTAAGAGTTTGTTTTCCGAAGTGACATTTTGAAGCGCACATTTATCATGCATGAATTCTCACTTGTTTTCATCTTGTGCGAATTGATTAATATCTTTTCCCCTATGAATCAAAGTATTAATGTGGTTATACAATTAATTAGACAGTATATTGGGGGCACCAATTCTACCACTGAATGAAGATAAAGAATCAAACTTGCAAAATGTTCAATTTATGGATTGCTGAAGATTATTTTTGGTAATTTGAAAATATATATTTTTTTTAATGAAAAACTTTACACATAAAGATATTAAAATGAGAGGCAAGAGAAATGTCTTCAGATGGCAGCTTGATATCAGCTTAATTGTCCTTGCAAGGATACTACACTAGATTGATTGGTAGTTTGAACAAGGGATGGTTTTTAGGATTGAAATGAGTGATAGTTTAGAAAATTTTAACACAATAATGTGCAGTTATTTTTTCAATTTCGTTTATAGCATATCTACTTTTCACCTGTCTCCCTTGACCCGATACACCCCCTCAAATAAGTCATAGGGAATTCTGGTGATGAATCTTATCTTCTTTACACACTGCTCTCATTACAACTCACCACTTTGTCAATCTTTATACTGACTTACATCTACTCAAAGGTCAAAACTAAAATCCTTCACTTTCAGAGATCAACAAATATACACAGACTTAAGTATCAAATCTAATGTGCAAATACCTACCTTCTCAGGCACTTCCCTCTGACATTTCCATCATACACTTGACCTCTGTCCTAGGAGCTTCTTTATCCCTGTGTTGGTTTTATTTCATGCCCAACTTTGCTCTGTCAGTGGAGAGTCATCTAATTATGCTCTAAAACACATTCATGTAGTAAAGCATATTGTCATACCCTGAATATCATACCCAACACCGTACATCATACAACATCATAAGACAGTTTGCTTCATCCTATACATACAAACATTTGTTTGGATAGACAGAGAAAGCACACTGAGTAATCTCCCTTCTCAATACATTATTACCATAACCCTCTACTTCTAAGCTGTACATAGAGTAGAGCTTTCTTCGCCTCTTGTCTTGAGATCTATGTTTAATTGTTACAAATCATTTATTTTTTAACCCGTTGTACAGTACTGGTATATATTGGCGTTCTATAAGTAAAATAATAATAAAAACTATTTTGTTCTTTGCTGATGAGTTAGACAAGAAAGCCGGTAGGTTTGCTACTTAGATCATTGGTTCTGGTTTCCAAGTGTTGTTATTTTTGCAGGTCTGTGACTGGGAAGGCAGAACCTGCAATGCCAGGACGTTTGTACGTCCACCCAGACTCACCTGCCACAGGAGCCCATTGGATGAGGCAGCTGGTATCCTTCCAAAAGTTGAAGCTCACCAACAATCACTTGGATCCATTTGGTCATGTAAGTAGTTAAAATAAAACACAGAGCTTGTTAAACATGTTATTTTCTACCTTTGATTGCCATAACCACATTTTCCTCTCTCTAAGAGACACGCATATTGTCATCATCATATTCTAATGCAGTCAGGTATGTTCAAAGTGAGCGATGGGTTTGTGATTAAATGTCAATGAGTTCCATAAAAAAATAAAAACAAAACATTTGAATCATATTTCGCTGTAGTCATTGTCACTTTATAGGATTTTTAACAATATGTTTAAGTATCTCTATATTTAAAAAATATGAATATGTGAGAAATCCACAGCTCTGTATCTTTCAACTGGGTATCTTCTTCTTAGCTCTCTATAAAAGCTGTGGTTTGCACTTGGCTGTTAGCTTACAGAAAGCATTAAGAGAAGAGTAGAACGAAAACAATGTTTCTATTTGTCCACTTTATTTCCGATGTTAACCCTGGGTTTATCTAGTCTGGACAGGGTTATAATGCCATTTGCTAAACCTTTAATGTGACACTGTCACCCTCTTTGGTATTTTCATATTACAAAGACCTCAGGTGGTGACAGTGCCGAGGCCTGGGGGTTCAGAAGAAGGTAGTTTTTACATACCTGATCCTTTCCCTTGAGGCATCTTCCTCTATGAGGTCCTCTTCAGCTCCTGGAACTTTGTCTGCCAGTAGCCATCTGTGCTGTACTCTTGCAGGATCCTCCACAGAAGGAGCCTTTTCCTTTTAGCCTTAATGTGTAAGGGCTTGACAGCTAGAAAAAACACACAAGATGAAGTAGTCCCTACTTTGTCTTAAGATGATATCGTTTGACTGGGTTGGAATTTCAGTGAAATTCCAACACAGGCTTTATGAGGATTTCATAAAGATTTTATCTTCATGAAATGCTCTTTTTTTTGGTGGTGGCAGGGTGGGGGTATGTGTGTGACAGAGCTGTTTTAATATAAATTGGAAAAAAAAAGCAAGAAAAAAGTTAGCTCAAATTATATGTGATTTTGAATGTTTTATTCAATTGTATAATTTACAGAGTAGCGACAGTTCAGCGACAACATTTTGATAGCACATTTTGCATCTACAAGCCTTTTGTTTCACTGACATCTAAAACTCTGCAGAATGAATTCACACTTAATCTTGTTAGTTCTATTTTAACCAACAATACAGCCTTAAACATAAACCAGTTGTATAAAGAAAATAACCTTATGTTGACAGAGTTTCTTATTTGCATATACAAAAAAAAAAACAAGATACCTTTTTAAAAAGCTTTAAACGATTGTACAGTTAGGGAAAAAAGAATTTGATCCCCTTCTGATTTTGAACGTTTGCCCACTGACAAAGAAATGATCAGTCTATAATTTTAATGGTAGGTGTATTTTAACAGTTAGAGGCAGAATAACAAAAGAAAATCCATAAAAACGCATGTCAAAAAAGTTATAAATTGATTTGCATGTCAATGAGTGAAATAAGTATTTGACTCCTTTGACTTAGTACTTGGTGGCAAAACCTTTGTTGGCAATCACAGAGGTGAGACGTTTCTTGTAATTGGCCACCAGGTTTGCACACATCTCAGGGGGGATTTTGTCCCACTTCTCTTTGCAGATCCTCTCCAAGTCATTAAGGTTTTGAGGCTGACTTTGGCAACTCGAACCTTCGGTTCCCTCCACAGATTTTCTATGGGATTACGGTCTGGAGACTGGCTAGGCCACTCCAGGACCTTAATGTGCTTCTTCTTGAGCCACTCCTTTGTTGTCTTTGCTGTGTGTTTTGTGTCACTGTCATGCTGGAATACCCACGCACGACCCATTTTTAATGCCCTGGCTGAGGGAAGGAGGTTCTCACCCAAGATTTGACGGTACATGGGCCCGTCCATCGTCCCTTTGATGTGGTGCAGTTGTCCCTTAGCAGAAAAACTCCCCCAAAGCTTAATGTTTCCACCTCTATGTTTGACGATGGGGATGGTGTTCTTGGGGTCACAGGCAGCATTTCTCCTCCTCTAAACATGGCGAGTTGAGTCAATGTCAAAGAGCTCGATTTTGGTCTCATCTAACCACAACATTTTCACCCAGTTCTCCTCTGAATCATTCAGATGTTCATTGGCAAACTTCAGACGAGCCTGTACATGTGCTTTCTTGAGCAGGGGGACCTTGCAGGAGCTGCAGGATTTTAGTCCTTCACGACATAGTGTGTTACCAATTGTTTTCTTTGTGACTATGGTCCCAGCTGCCTTGAGATCATTCACAAGATCCTCCCGTGTAGTTCTGGGCTGATTCCTCACCGTTCTCATGATCACTGAAATTCCACAAGGTGAGATCTTGCATGGAGCACCAGACAGAGGGAGACTAACAGTTATTTTGTGTTTGTTCCATTTGCGAATAATCGCACTGACTGTTGTCACCTTCTCACCAAGCTGCTTGGCAATGGTCTTGTAGCTCATTCCAGCCTTGTGTAGGTCTACAATCTTGTCCCTGACATCTTTGGACAGTTCTTTGGTCTTGGTCATGGTGGAGCATTTGGAATCTGATTGATTGATTGATTGATTGCTTCTGTGGACAGGTGTCTTTTATAAGACAGTGCTCCTAATCTCAGCTTGTTACCCTATATAAGACACCTGAGAGACAGAAATCTTGCTGATTGATAGGGAATCAAATACTTATTTCACTCATTGTCATGTAAATCAATGTATAACATTTTTGACATGCGGTTTTATGGATTTTTGTTTTTGTTTTGTTATTCTGTCTCTCACTGTTAAAATACACCTACCATTAAAATTATAGACTGATCATTTCTTTGTCAGTGGACAAAGGTTCAAAATCAGCAGGGGATCAAATACTTTCCCCCCCTCACTGTATAACCACAAATGAACATAGCATTGACATTCTGAGGGTTTAATGACATTTCTATAGGTTACCTTTGGCATCAGAAGTATAGAATAGGATAAAAATGATCTAATACTCAGCCACAAATTGTGAAGTTGGTTTGCTCATAGATGGAAGCTTACAGTTTATGTCTATCCTATCCCATGCATGTGGTTGAAAGCTAAGTGCAAATAACAGGCTTTAGAAGGAAATATAAAAGAGTGATATTACTATTGTTTGCATATTTTTAATTGTTTCTGTCCAAAATTGTATTCAGTACAGCAATCCACACACCCCTGTATTTTATATTTATGATTGCCCTCATCATACTGGCTTTTTTGCAGTTTTCCAGAACCTGTGAAAACTTTTGTACCATTGTTTTAATCCATACCTCCCTACCTGCCTTAAACTGACAGTACAGTCCTGATTTTGGAAAACGTACCTGCCAATCGAGTTACTCCTTTAGTGTTTCGCATATTGCAAGCAAATCATTCATTGCCTTTGGAATTTGCCAGTGCTTCTTTGGTGATTAGTGTATATTGAGATGCTTGGCTGGCAGGCAAACAAACTCCTAGTTCCATAAGCAGTATTGGTAATGGTGTGTGTAGTATGTGTAACAGAAACAGAATTCACTTAAACAAATGTTATAATTTGACTAATTTGGCCCAAATTTCGGAATTCACTTTGAATCGAATTGAATTGCCCGCAACTTTTAGTGAGAAACTCTGTGAGAATGACTCTAGGGATTATTTGATTTAAGAAGAAGTGATGTGGCTTGGGGACAGGGCTATTCTGTGATATATTAGATATTAGGTGTCTTTGGGCCACTTATCCAATTAAAAAAGTAGTCTGACAACAAGGTGAGAGTGTTTTATTTACAAAGTCCTATGTTGACATTACTGTGAGATATGCTCTATTACACACAAATACACACCAAAAGCTCTGAACTCCTAAAAAAATAAAAGGGGGTGGAGGGAGGGGAGCAATGGGACAGGAACTTGCAAGGTATGGGCAGCGAGGAAAACCTGGAAAAATTTACAAATAAAGTTAAGTACCTACAAACATATACATAAATATATCCTAACCTAACATAGAAACATAGAATGTGACCGCAGATAAGAACCATTCGGCCCATCTAGTCTGCACAATTTTCTAAATACCTTATCTTATAGTTAGGATAGCCTTATGCCTTTCCCACGCATGCTTAAACTCCTTTACTGTGTTAACCTCTACCATTTCAACTGAAAGGCTATTCCATGCATCCACTTCCTAATATTATTTTTAAACCTTTGCTCCTCTAATTTAAGACTATGTCCTCTTGTTGTGGTAGTTTTTCTTCTTTTAAATATAGTCTCCTCCTTTACTGTGTTGATTCCTTTTATGTATTTAAATGTTGCTATCATATCCCCCGTCTCGACTTTTCTCCAAGCTATACACGTTAGGTTCCTTTAACCTTTCCTGGTAAGTTTTATCCTGCAATCCATGAACCATTTTAGTAGCCCTTCTCTGAACTCTCTCTAAAGTATCAATAACATTTACAATGATAATGAAAAAACAGACGAAGAAAGATAAGAATCTGTTAAAAATAATAATTGAACCAAATATTTTTTTTAAAATAAAATTCACCCCATTGGGGAGTGGAAGCAGTGGTAGCTGAGGTCAATAATTATAACATTACGGTAAAAGGAAATCACATGAAATAAATTAATCATTTATATTAATATTTAGTAAAAGCCTACTAGATGTGAAATTTCACGTGGATTATTTAATGTTATTTTTACAATTATTTACCAGTGTTAATTTGAACTTAATCTTAGTCACTTGGTAATGGAGCAATACAATACAGTATGGGCCATTGCAGTTCGGGGTAATGGAAAACCTTTTACATTGGAAGCCAGGAGAGGAGAGGGTAATTGTCAGGAATTACTGTGTAAGCAGTGTGCTGGACACATCCGTCCACAGCCTCTTGGTGCAGAGAGATTTCAACAGGCAGTGGCTACATTTTCGTGATCAGACGGTGGTTAACGCAGGTGATGCCAGCAGAGGTTGAGATTAAATCTCTCTCATACATCAGTGGATGAATGAACAGGGCTCTTACACACACACTGCTGTTTGGCAGGCCTGTGCTTTGCGGTTCCCAGGATTGATGAAATGGTTGTCTTGGAAAAAAAGCAAAAAGAGAAACCTGGAAGGAGAAAGGAAGCACACGAGGGGAGGGCTTCTGGGATTTAACTCTGAGTGTGGATTTTTGGTCTTTGTATGAATGTCTCACATTTTTTTTTAACATGTATCTACAAAATTAAGGATTCATTAATTATGGTAAAAATAAGGTAATTTAATAGAGAATTATTTATATTAAAATAATAACGGTGTAATTTTTTTTTTACATTTGCAAAAAGTACATTGGTTTGGAGAGGCTTTCAACACCCTAGTTTTGATTTCAAGTGTCTGCCAAGGGCTGAGTCATTTTCTTTGTTTTCCTTCTGGCCATATCACCAGCTGATGTCCACCAATACATTCATAACAATACAGATGCCCAGGACTAGTGTATTGTAATAACATGATAATCAAAGTGCTGCTTCTGTTAGTGATCTAAAGAGCTATACATAGAAACCAATGTGACTCAGTGCATATCTGTACTATACAACTTACCAATTTTGGCATCTTGTATAACGTAACTGTCTAGTATATGTACACCATTAATTTGAAGTATGAACATATGAGGGAGAGAGATAGAGTATGTGTGTATGTGGGTGAATGATCTATGCTCAATCTGGTATTGTTTTATAAAGTCTCTGAAAAGCCCCGTTAGTCACTGAAGTGTGAATTGTCTGGAATTCTATGTCCATTTTACAGTTTTTAATATATTATTCTATTTAGGGATACAGATACTACATTTATCAAATTTATTTCCTTGAGGACCAAGCTTCCTGTGCTTGTTTTTCACTTAAAGGGACACTCCAGGCACCAAAACAACTTCAGCTAAATTAAGGCACTCTAACCTCAAGGGATTAAACCAGTCTCGAACGGTTTTACCTCAAAGCTGCCTCCAGCGGCGATTTCCAACACTCCCCCCCGCCAGCATCAGGCTTCAGAATTTTCAGATGCAGAAAACGCGGAATGCCACATGGCAAGGGTGCCGCTGATTGGCTGAGAGCAGTCTGTGATTCCCCATTAACTAAACTGGCTTGGAAAGAAACGTACCTTTTTCAAGTCAGTTGAATGGGGAGTCACTGATTGTCTGAGAGCATCAGCTCACCGCTCTTAGCCAATCAGCAGCACCCCTCTCTGGCAACATTCCTGCGATATGCCCCTGCCCGGTGAGTCGGAAATTCAGAAGCCAGATGCCACCAGGGGGGAGCGGACATTGCAGATGGATGCTGCTTTGGGGCTAATCCGTTCAAGAACGGTTTATCCCCTTGAGGTACGTGTGCCTCCAGGGGCCTCTAGGTACCATAACAACTTTTAGATTAAATTGTATTGGTGCCTGGAGTATCCATTTAAGGACCCAAGCAATTTTTTGCTATGTTTGTTCAACTGAAATTTCCATCTTTTTCTTTTCTTTTCATTTATTGCATCAACATATATTATATACTGATTTTAAATTACAAAAAGGGCTTTAATTTGATGTGACATATATATATATATATAAATTCTCATTTATTATATTAAAAATACAAAAAATGATTTTTTTTTTTACAGTTTTGGCAATAATCATGTGTGCATTACCGAAGCTTATAAAAAGTAGATCAAAATAAATTAATTTATTTGTCTTGATTTACAGAGTACATAAAATTTGTAGGACTACAGTTTATTTTGGTAGTTACAGGTCACAAAATAAAAGGCGTAAAATAACATTTGAATGTGAAGCGACTTTAGAATTTGGTATGTTTGTCTTAAGCTTAATAACCATCACAGAAAATAAAATTGCCACACAAAAGTGTATATATTTATTTATATGAAGTAGCAGTGGCTTACTAAGGGGGGTGAGAGTCGGTCTGCCCTGGGTGCCACCAGATAGGGGGGTGCCATGACCCTTCATCCTGGCCCAGGGTCGGCCTTAGGAGTGTGCGAGCTGTGCGGCCGAAACAGCTCACACATGGGTGACAGGAGAGCAAGGGTGGAGCTAGAGCAGGTACCTGGGTGGAAGATTTCATTATTCTCCTCTCGGGTCTATGGAAAAAAAAAAAAAAACATGGTGGACGGGGACGGAGCTTACTGAGCATCAGGGGCGGAGCTTATAGCGAGGTGAGGATAAAATGGCAGTGGAGGTCTGTATGTCTGTGTGCCTGCCTGACTACGTGACTGCCTGCCTGTGTGTGACTGTCTGCCTGTGTGTTTGTGTGACTGCCTGCCTGTGTGTGACTGTAACTGTGTGTGTGACTGTCTGCCTGTACCTGTGTGTGACTGTCTGCCTGTTACTGAGTGTGTGTGTGTGTGTGCCTGTCTGCTTGTTCCTGTGTGTGAGTGTCTGCCTGTTACTAAGTGTGTGTGACTGTGTGCCTGTAACTGTGTGACTATGTGCCTGTAACTGAGCTTGTGTGACTTTCTGTCTGTAACTGCGCGTGTCTGTGACTGTCTGCCTGTAACTGTGTGTGAGGGGTGCAGGGATTTTGTAGAAGGGGGCAGGGGTTTTGTATTGGGATAGGAGTCTTGAATAAGGGGGGCTGATTTGTGGAAGGGGAATGCAGGGGTTTTGTATTAGGGGGCACTACAGGGGTTTGTAGAAGGGGGAAGGACATAGGTTTTGTAGGAAAGGGGCAGGACAGGGGTTATGTAGAGGGGGGTTAACATGGGTTTGTCAAAACACAGGATCCGCCCCGGGTGCCAAATGCACTAGGTACGCCCCTGTAAAGTAGACATCACAGGCTATTTACTTAAGGGTATTTTGACACTTTTGACATAGCCATTTGACTGCCAATCTTTGCTAAATATTGTAGTAATATCGTTTTTTCAGATTTTAACATACTCACATATAGCAAGGTCTTTTTCAATGTGTATTTCATAAACCAGATGTGCTACTCCTGTACAAAAACCAGTACCTCAAATTGCCATGTAAGAGACATGACCATTTCAGTTTTTACAGTTAGAATTTTGATTCATGGATTTGATGGGCTCATTTTGTGAAATTATAGCAGTTGAATTGTTCAAATAACCCTATGAAGTCCTACCATTTGTAAAATGAGACACTCCAGGTTATGTCATACAGTGAATATTGTGCCTTAAAGTGTCACAGTTTTTCTGACCAGTTTATGTAAAAGTTTGTAAAAAAATAAAATACATTTGTTTGCATTTTTTATATGCACGTAGCATTTCTGCTAGTATTTTGTAAATCTGATGTGTTCCACTGTGATAAAACCTCCCAAATTATGCTCGGCTACATCTTCTGAGAACTGCAATACTCCCAACGTGTGCCACAGACACAATCATGTGAAGCTATAGTGCCATATAAGTGACCATCCTATTTCAGGTTTTTAGGTATGAATTTTCATAGAAGGATTTGATAGGGCATTGTAGCAATTTGACTTTTAAAATGACCCCATGAAAGCCTACCATTTGTGAAAGTAGACACTACAGGGTATCTCATATGGTGTATTGTGCCCTAATGTGTCACCATTTTCCCACCAGTTTATGTCAAAGTTTGGAGAAGAAAAAATTGTTTCGTTTTTTTTTACATGCACGTTGACTTTCAGCAGATAGGATTCTTTGTCCAATACAAGTGAATAATAGGCTTCTTTATGATCCCCATAAACAAAAATGTAATTCAGGGATACTGGGAGGGAAGGTACCATGCCGCCTTCCTGGTAGTAAATGACGCAGGGTTCTAGGCAAGATACTCCTCAGCATAGAGATTGATTTGCGTTGCAATCGTCCCTAAAATATCCCCAAGGAACAACTGCATAAACTCCACTGGGCCATAGCTGGACATATCAGCCTGTGTGCCTGAAGTTGCAGTAAAGGTAGCCATTTGCCGTTGCTGATAGGCCTAGGACACTGAGGCACCCAGCAACAGCGTTAACTCCACAATTGCTGCAGCTATGTGGCGTTAATTTTAGTACATGACAGAATTACTCCTTCAGTGGACCTCATGGTATGGAGTGTCATGATGCAATTCCATCAACGGCCGTTAAAGGGGACATTTTCTACACCAGAACAACTTCATCTAAATGTGCAATGTGTGTGTATTATTATTTTTATTATTGTGTGTAGGGGTGCAATGTGTGTTGGGGTGCAGTGTGTGTAGGGCTGCAGTGTGTGTAAGGCGTGCAATGTGTGTGTAGGGGTGCAGTGTGTGTGAGGGGTGCAATGTTTGTGTAAGGCTGCACTATGTGTGGGGGTGCAGTGTGTGTGAGGGGTGCAATGTTTGTGGGGGTGCAGTGTCTGTGAGGGATGCAGTGTGTGTGTGAGGGGTGCAATGTTTGTGTAAGGCTGCACTATGTGTGGGGGTGCAGTGTGTGTGAGGGGTGCAATGTTTGCATAAGGCTGAACTAGGTGTGGGGGTGCAGTGTGTGTGAGGGGTGCAATGTTTGTGTAAGGCTGCACTATGTGTGAGGGGTGCAATGTTTGTGTAAGGCTGCACTATGTGTGTTTGTGAGGGGTGCAATGTTTGTATAAGGCTGCACTATGTGTGGGGGTGCAGTGTGTGTGTGAGGTGCAATGTTTGTGTAAGGCTGCACTATGTGTGGGGGTGCAGTGTGTGTAGGGGTGCAGTGTGTGTGAGGGGTGCAATGTTTGTGTAAGGCTGCACTGTGTGGGGGTGCAGTGTGTGTAGGGGTGCAGTGTGTGTGAGGGGTGCAATGTTTGTGTAGAGGTGCAGTGTGTGTGGTGGTATAAAGCCTATATTGTGTATGAGGGTGGGATAAGATGGGACTGGGAGCAAATCCATTCTTCTTCAGTCTGTTCCCTACTGTGTTGTCCTGATTTCATGCTTTTTCCAACTCTCAGCAAGTCATGTTCCATTTCCCCATCTCACATCTTTCCCTAGTCTCACCCTGCTATAGTCCCAGTAATGTATCTAAATTCAAACACATAATTTCTGCATATTTCATGCAGTTCAAGTTAAGTATTCCTTTTCAGTTTTACTTCATCACTTCTCTTTCCTTCTTCATATGACCTTATATTTTCACTTTACATGTCATGTTCTCATCATTTTAATTCTCCATGGCAGCAATTGTCACTAGATCTTAATTCTCATATTTTATTAACCTCGTGTATTTACTCACTATGACATTATTTATCAATTTTAGTTCTCTTAAAAGAAACCTACTAAGCACCATGACCACTATATCACACTGAAGTGGTTGGTGGTAGTAGTGCCCTGGTACCCCAATCCAATTTAAATAGTCAAACCATTTGCTAATGTTTTAACTTCTTATCTGGGGTCTGATGGATGCTGCACCCTGCCTCTTCCCTTTGGGTCCTGATAGTCAGAAGCTCTGGCAAAGCAGGGCCAGCTCATTGGCTAAAAGTGGCTGCTGATTACTCTCAGCCAGTAAACTAAGACCTGAATCACCAGGCTTAACTCAGTGCTGAGTGCTTTCATCTCTCATTGAGGCAGAGCGGCATTTAGAGAACCTTTTCTCTCTTCTGTCATATCACTATTGGTGACAGCTGCAAAAAAGCAAGATCTCCATGTTCTGGAGACATAAACCACAAGATAAACTGATTAAAGGATCACTATAGGGTCAGGAACACACACATGTATTCCTGACCCTATAGTGTTAACACCACCATCTAGCCTGCCTGGGCCCCTCATACCTCCATAAATATAGCAAAATCTTACTACATTCAAGCCAGAAGCTGTAACTCTGCATGCTGTGTGCCTAAAAAAAAAAAAAAAAGCAGTCTGCTGACATCAGCAGAAGTGGTAGCCTGATCCAATCACAATGCTTCCCCATAGGATTGGCTGAGACTGACAAAGAGGCAGATCAGGGGCAGAGACAGCATGATTCAAACACAACCCTGGCCAATCAGCATCTCCTCATAGAGATGAATTGAATCAATGAATCTCTATGAGGAAAGTTCAGTATCTGCATGCAGAGGGAGGAGATACTGAATGTTTGGATGCATTTTAGGCAGCCATGACCCAGGAAGTATCTCTAACAGCCATCTAAGGAGTGGCCAGTGAAGTTATCACTAGGCTGTAATGTAAACACTGCATTTTCTCTGAAAAGACAGTGTTTACAGCAAAGGGCCTGAAGGTAATGATTCTACTCACCAGAATAAATTCAATAAGCTGTAGTTGTTCTGGTGACTATAGTGTCCCTTTAATGAATCCATAATGGGATCGTTAACCATAATTCAGAACTTCAGAATTATGTTTCCTTTCTATGCATTTTTATTTTAAATAAGCTTATGGCTAGGATTACGGTTAAAGCTATTTGTGGCTCTGGACATTATTTCAGCCTCTTATCTCAGTTCACCATATCATTAAAAGAAGAAGGCTGAATTAAAATGTGGCTGCTCCAAATAGCAGCGGGTTTAGGACAGGTCGGGGCAAATATTTTCTGGCGCTGCCCTGAATTTAGTACTTCTTGATTAATGTACGCACACTGTGGGATTCAAACACGTGATATGCTTGTTAGAATAATATATATGTTCAGGCTGTGGGCTTGTAGTTATGGTAGGAGTTATTCCTGTATTTAAAACACCTAGCAGTTAGTACCTTCAAAACTGCAGGCATCTTCAATAGAGTTGAGTGGACACCTGGATGTTCGGGATATTCGGGTCCGGCAGGTTCGGCCGAACTTTGAAAAAAAAGTCCAGGTTCGGGCTCAAACTTAACCCCGAATCCCACTGAAGTCAATGGGACCCGAACTTTTGGGCACAAAAATGGCTCTAAAAAACTCCTGGAAAGGGCTAGAGGGCTGCAAAATGAAGTAAAATGGGGGTAAGATTAGGAAAAGTGCCTTGCAAACAAATGTGGATAGGGAAATCACTTAAAATAACATAAGATACATAAAATAAGCAGCCACTTAGTAGATAACTCCCTAATGTATAGGGAGCTATCTACCAAAAGGCTGAAAGACCTAAATTGGTCTTTCAGCCACATTTACTAATACTAAGTAAAGTTTACTTAGTATTAGTAAATTCAGCCCCTACTCGCTATACCGCAAATAGGGGTGTATCTAGTAAACAGTGAGCAGCTGGTGGCTGCTCACTGTAAAAAAAAACAAAAAAACCTATTGCCCCCACCCCTGTGCGGCAGGTGGGGGCCCTAAATAAGAATGTGAGGTGGGGACCTACTTCCTCCCCCCCAGCCCCCGAGCGGTGGGTTGGGGCCATCAATAAGAATTTGGGGGGGCCTACTGTCCTCCCCCCGGCCCCCACCACCTTGCGGCGGGTGGGGGCCCTAAATAACAATCGGGAGGGGACCAACTGTCCTCTCCCCGGCCCCCACCCCTGAGCGGTGGGTGGGGGCCACAAATAAGAATTTTGGGGGGGGACCTACTGTCCTCCCCCCCGGCCCCCACCCCTGCGCAGCGGGTGGGGGGCCTAAATGACAATAAGGGGGGACCTACTGTGTCGGTTATTATGGATTTTTATTTGGCCTTTTTGGGGGCTGAAAAAAGAAGATTTTAGAAGAAAGAAGACCTTTTTTTTTTTTTAAACAGGTATTTAGATAAGGGTCCCCCCTCATTATTTTTAGGATGAGGGGTAATTTTTTTGGGGGGAAGGGGGTGACTAGGGGTTTGGGGACCCCTAGTCACCTGGGGGGAGGGGGGTAAATTTTTATTTAGGGCCCCCACCCGCCGCACAGGCTTTTGAACAGGGGTCATTTAATTTTTTTCATTGTTTCCATGTTTTGTTTTAGGATTGTGCCATTCTGTTATAACCTACAGTTAAATATGAATCCCATCAGAAAAAAAATAAATGTGTTTTGCCTGCTCACTCATGTTTTCTTTAAAAATGGTACATATATTACCAATTCTCCAAGGGTATGCAAACTTTTGAGCACAACTATATTTATTATTGTTGTGCACAGAGCATTTAACTCATATTCAGTTTTGATCTGCATATTGTAGTTAGCTAGCGCAGCTTCTTTACCCAGAAGTAGGTGCCCTCGAAGGCACAGTAAGACTCTTTCTTTTATATAGTGCGATATTTAGTCACCCGAATTCATACTATCATATCAAGTGAAGAGAAACTATATATCTCTTTAGCTGTGACCTGAGGGATTTGTTAAACACTTCTGGCGATAGAGAATTTTCTAGCCGTGATTTTACACTCTCTTATCTATTGGGGTATATACCAGCTAGTTGTTTGAAGTCTGACTAGACAGCACAGTGTTTTCTGTTTAGAGGCAGGTGCCATCGAAGGCACAGTAAGATTCGTTCCACTATACAGTATAACAATATTCAATTACTATACTTTTTTGTATTCTATGTAAATTATACTGAGTGAATATCATACGTTAGCTAACCAGCCAGACTGACGAGGATCTCTTTATAGACCCTTTTTCACCCCATATCTTCTGAACGAATATGAGTACATAGTAGGGAGTCAGACTGATAAGGATTCTCTACGGATTTGTTTTACTGCATATCTCCTGTTTTAAATACGATATCTAATATTAGACGGACTAAGCCTAGACCCAATAATCGAGTACAGATAAATTAAGATTCAGACTGTGCAAAACAATGCAGACTTATGTCCGTCTATACTAGATTCAGCAAGTGATCGAGATAAAACAAATTGATACATTACGATATTTGGCAAAATGAATTCATATCCAGCTGGTACTTTCTATCCAAACATCCTATTATAACTATATAGTTACAATATATTTAATGCTAACTTTGATTCTGTGCCAGCAAGTACGATCATTTGTCTGTATATTTTCCTACAAATCTTTTGTGGGAAACTGAGGTTTTTATAACCAACATTTATTTATTTGTTTTTTCTTTTTATATTTCTTGTTCACTTTATAGACTTTTCTAATAAAAGTTACGTTTTAAATGTAATATATTAACAACATCTCTTTAGGGCAGTGTTTCTCTTCTTTTCACTATATCTTATTCTATTTAGGGTTACCCCCTTTACTGCCTTATCTACCTATGCTTAGACAGTTCTCGCCTTCTCGTGCACAGAGCATGCTTTTTTAGCTGTGGCTGAAATACATTAAACTTAAACCTCTGAAGTTCATTTTTTGATATATATAATATATTACGGTATATAGGTAGTCCCAGATAAATGTCTGATTTGACAGAATGCTTGATTGCATAGGCGATTCGGATAGCAGCCTGATTTTATCACCAAATCCAAAGCATGCAGATATGAAACGACAATAAACACAAGGAAAATTTGATTTTGTATATATTGATATAATGTAATATTGTATAGTCATGGGTGTATTTTGAAAACATGTGTGAAGGATAAATGACAACTGTGATAGGCTAATCAATCTCAAATGAATCAACTTATATATACAGGTAGTCCTATGATAAATATAATAATGAGTGACAGAATCAGGTGCATGGGCAACATTGATAGCGCCATTTTAGTAAACTCCAAAACTGCATGAAAATAAAACGACAATAATACACAATTCTAAAAATGTTGATTTTGTAATAAGATAAACAAAAATATTGTAAACTTTGTAGGGTGTATTTTGACTCTTAGTTACATCTGGTGAAGGGAAATACTTTGAATCAGGGAGATAGGCTGAATATTTAATTTATCGGTGAATCGGGATGGTGTATATGGCAAATAATGTAATATTGTATAGTCATGGGTGTATTTTGAAAACTTTTAAATACACTGTGAAGCTATCAACTCATGAATCAACTTATAACAACACAATCCTTGTCAGGCATATATAATGGCTAATCAATCAGGCCTCCTGGGCAACTTGATATGGGCGTCTCACAGGTAGTATATAAATAAAACAGAAAAAACAGGGGTAACGAATAGTGTAATCCAGTTGAGATCAAAAGATTAAGTAAAATAAACAAAAATCACACTCACAAACAAAGAGCTTCCAAATCAGCTCTTAGTTAATAGCTTGAGGTGGTATAATTCCCGCTCAGGGATATAGCTGAAGATTTTATTTTCGGTGAATCGGTTTATGGTATACATAATGCAAATACAGAAATGGAGAAAATATAGTGCTCTCTGTTTGTATTAATAGATATATAAAAAAATAAGGAAATGTACTTTCCAGAGCACAAATATGCCCTATGGAATCAGCTTGGGCGATACAATCCCCACCTGGGATATATGTAGATAAAGAAAGTGCAGCAGTGTCGACAGCGATCCACAGTATAAGAGAGGTATTCAATTGAAGCAGGACCAGCAATGTTTAGTAGATGGTAAAAATAAATGTTATTCCAAATGACCAAAAAGCTAATGTAAAAGCAAATATAACTAAAAACAATACTGATAAAATCACAACACATTTTGCCAGTTAGGCTTTTATAAATGAAAGTACAAAAAGGGTCCTGCATATAAAGAAAAAGAGGTTAATGATGTCATCAGGTCACATTACTGCAAAAAAACACATGTTAATCTTAATTGATTAACATGCAGAAATTAAAATACAGAAATATGAAATAAAATAGATATTGAATACAATGTTCAATGTTTATTTTATTCCATATGTATGTATATGTAAGGAATATTTCAATATATACTGAATATATTTTACAATATTCAATGTTTATTTTATAACAGTAACACTAATGGTTACTCTAACCAAAAGCAATACTTTATTAAAAAAAACAGGTTTTTGGTTTGAGTAAACTTCTAACAAGTAAGAATAGCATAGTCTTTTTTAGTCAGTGGTTATTGCAGACACGGTCTACAACAGTTGAAGATGTGAGATGTGTTCCATAAGAATTATCTAAGGTGTAGATCAGTGCTCACTGCCTACCCTCAGCGATGCAGGCGCCGTTCTCTCCATTTCTATATAAAAAAAACAAGATAAAGAGGGAAACGTATTGGAACAGCTATAGTAGCAGACAGGTGTATATCATGGTTGACTCAGGGCCAGCTAGATGGACATTAGGGGAACTGTAGCTCGTTAACATGTGCTCCATCAGCTGATCGTCTGCAATAAGCACAGCCAGATTTCAGAATTATCAAGCCCCAATACTGCTGTAAGAAAGTCAGTGCTCCATCAGCTGATTGTCTGCAATAAGCAAGGTAGCCTTTTGGAAGCTCAAACTAAGACTTTATCCTGCACAGCATAATTTATATTTAATTTAACCACCCTGTACGTTTATTTTATACATCCTGTGTGCATTGTATATTTTATTGCTTTTATATCTAGTCTGTCATGCTAAAGTGTAGTTTTGCTAGCCCTGTATGTAATTATTTTATTCACCTATGTGCATTCCTCTGTTTCCCCTCTGATTTCTGACTAACCTCTGACCCCTCCCTTCTTTTATTGATATGTTTGGTTTTATTTGAATAACCATCCCTTCAGCTCTGTGCCTAGCTACATATCCTCCTCCCTCAGCTTTATTGCAAGCCTATCTGACCCTTACATATCTTTAATCAACAGCTTGATTTCAAACTATCAAGCCTCAATACTGCTGTAAGAAAGTCTGATACCTACCCTATGCTCATTATTACATTTATAGATTGTCTGTCACACCCACATTTTAGATAAGTAAAAATAACAGGTGTACACACTGTCTCTTATTAGTACACTCTGCACTTTCTTAACCCATGAAACTTAATATTTACCCTACCTTCACCTGCTCTTGATATTCAAATTATCTCTAATTTACTTTTTCCCAGTTTAGCAATGATCTGTCTTCTCCTCAGTATAAAAATCTCTCCTTACACCAACTTCACTCATAACCTCAACCACTTTTACATATGTTTATCTCTGCTACACTCCCCCCTTCTCTCATCTCATGGCTTGTACTCATTTTTCTACTTTCTCATTCCTACCCACAATCGATCTCATCCTAGACCCCATGCATACAAAACCCATTTACACCACCTGTCACTTTCTCTCCTCCTGCTTCTAGCAGCTGGTGATGGCTCTCCCAATCCAGGGCCCTTCACCTTCTCTACACACACTAAGAAAACCAGAAAACCCACAAACCTCATCACAATACCCTGCCCTTTACCCTCACTTACCAACATTCAGTGTGCACTTTGGAAAGCCTGCTCCGTCTGCAGTAATTTAAAATCAACAGCCATACATGACTTTTTCATCTCAAACTCACTTACACTTCTTGCACTTACAGAGATCTGGCTGTCCCCCTCTGATAGCGCTACTCCTGCCTCTTTATGTTTTGGTGGGCTACAAGTCTCTCACACTCCTAGACTCAACTGTAAAGGAGGTGGTGTAGGCGTCCTTCTCTCTCCTCAATGTACATTTCAACCAATCATAACTGCCACTTCCCTATCCTTTTCTTCTTTTGAAATTCACATTGTCCACCTCTTCAAACCCACTCCTTTAAGAATCATCTACCGCCCCCCCTCACCCCGCCACTCCCAGTCATCTTAGGCTATTCATTGAGCACTTTTCTTCCTCGCTTCTCCACTTCCTCTCATCTAGCACTCCTTCCCTTATACTTGGGGATTTCAATATCCCAATCAACAACCCCATCTGCACTGATGCCTCTCTTCTGCTCTCTGTAACCTCCTCCTTTGGCCTCAGGCAATGGTCCAATTTAGCAACCCATACAGTGGGAAACACTCTTGATCTCGCCTTCACCAATCTCTGTACCGCCTCTAATCTCTCCAATATTCCTTTTCCTCTATCAGACCACCATCTGCTGACTTTTGACATCGGTATACCTAAGACCCAATTGACACCACCGTCTAAATATCAATCTCACAGAAACCTCCAATGTCTTGACCTAGAGCATTTCTCCACTAATCTTCAAACTCTCCTGTTACCTATCTCAAACCTCACCTGTCCTAGCTCTGCAATCTCCTTCTACTATTCCACCCTCTCCTCCCAACTAGACATCATGGCATCTCCTACATTTAAACGCAGAAAGCGCCCCTAACAAAAACCTTGGCACACCAAGCTGACTCGATACCTCCAAAAATGCTCCAGAACTGCTGAACACTGTTGGAGAAAGTCTCACTGTGTGTCTGACTTTCTCCACTATAAATTTATGCTGCGCTCATACAGCTTGGCTCTTGGCTCTTTCCTCTGCAAAAGTAAATTACTTCAATACCCTCAAAATCACACTCTCCCGTGAACCCAATCGACTATCTCACACATTCAACTCTCTTCTTCATCCTATTGTTCCTCCTTCACTGGCAAGATCTCTATGTCAGGGTTTCTTTAAACAGCAACCCTTCCTTTTTCAGTGTCTGAGCTTTCAGCTGAGATTAACGATCAGATCCTTCAGTATGTTGCCACGGTTACTCACCTGAGAATAGTAATCAACCCTGCAGATAATCAGTGCAGCCTATTTAAGCAGCAAATCCCAGAACCTCCTTGCCCTTGCGTGGTTTCCTGTTGCCCAGAAGTCTTCTTGTTCCTGTGTTTCCTGTTTGTTCCTGGTTCCTGACTCTGGCCTTGTTCCTGACTTCGCTGATCTACGTTCTCCTGATCCTGGCTCGTCTGACTACCCGCTCTGGTGACTGACCCCTGCTTGCCTCCTGGACTTTGCTTTTGGTTATTTCTTTATTTGTTATTTATTAATAAAGGTGTTTTTGCATCTAGTTCTGTCTCTGTCTGGTTCCTGGTCCCTAACACTCTACAATCAGGGAAGAGATCTCTCATCTTTCTTCTTCCCCTTGCCTCATTCCCTCTGCTGTTCTTTGTTCATTCGCACCCAATACATCGGAAGAGGTTTCTGCTCTGCTCCAGTCCTCCTGCCCCACCGCCTGCTCCCTAGATCAGATTCCCTCGCATCTGATCCATACTCTGTCTTTTTCTCTTTCTCTACCTCTCACTAAAATTCTCAATCTCTCTCTCTCCTCTGGCATATTTCCATCACCCTTCAAACATGCAACTGTTATCCCCAATTCTAAAGAAGCCCAACATTGACCCTAACTCCCTGTCCAACTACCGTCCTATCTTGCTACTGCCTTTTGCATCCAAGATCCTTGAAAGAGTTGTGTATGTGAGATTGACAGACTTCCTCGAGTCCAACTCTCTGCTAGACCCGCTTCAGTCTGGTTTCCCGCGCTGAGCACTCTGAGGAAACGCACTGACCAAAGTATCCAATGATCTACTCGCTGCAAAATCTCGTGGTCACTACTCTATCCTAATTTTCCTTGACCTTTATGCGGCTTTTGCCACTGTTGATCATCAACAGATTTTTCTCATCCTCCACAATATGAGTCTATAAGATATTGCTCTCTCCTAGCTCTCCCAGTGCTCTTTCAGTGTTTCTTTCTCTGGCTCTGCTTCTTCTCCCAAACTCCTCTCTGTTGGTGTCCCCCAAGGTTCAGTCCTTAGTCCCCTACTGTTCTCTATCTACACTGCCTCCCTTGGTAAAGTCATTAGCTCCTTTGGCTTCTAATATCATTTCTATGCGGATGACACGCAAATCTATCTGTCCTCTCCTGATCTCTCCCTGTCCCTCTTGACTAGTGTCTCTGACTGCCTCTCTGCTATTTCTAACTGGATGGCTGCCCACTTCCTTAAACTCAATTTGACCAGAACTGAATTTCTGGTCTTTCCTCCCTCAAGTGAATTTCTGGTCTTTCCTCCCTGTGTCGGTCTCCCTCCAAGTCAACATTGCTACCATCAGCTCCACCACGCAGGCTCGCTGCCTAGGTGTTCTCTTTGACTCCGACCTCTCCTTCACTTCTCATGTTCAGTCTATCGCCAAATCCTGCCGCTTCCATCTAAAAAATATTGTGCGCATCCGACCCTACGTCAGATGCGACTAAGGTGATGGTCCATTCCACTGTAATTTTTTGCCTTAACTACTGTAATCCGCTTCTCAGTGGTCATACGTGCTCCCAACTTGAGCCGTTACAGTCCATAATGAATGTGGCGGTGAGGCTCATCTTCCTGTCCACCCGCACCTCCCACGCCTCACCTCTCTGTCAGTCCCTACATTGGCTTCCTGTAAGATATAGGGCTCAATTTAAAATTCTGGTTCTTGCTTTCAAATCTCTACATAAGGCTGCTCCCACCTATCTATCCTCCTTAATACACAAGTATGTCCCGTCTAGGCCCTTACGCTCTGTTGAAGAATTACGTCTATCTTCTGTCCGTACTCCAACCTCTGATGCTCGCCTTCAAGACTTCTCGAGGGCTGCACCTATGGAACTCACTTCCCTCCTCCGTTAGATGCTCACGCAGTCTCCACTCCTTCAAAAAATCATTAAAAACCCACTTCTTCATAAAAGCGTATCAATTAAACTGTTAATAGCTCCCGACTGATTCCTCTCTTGCAACTGTCATTAGCCTAATACTATCCTTACCTTTTTGTGTCATTTTACCCCACTCCCTCTAGCATTTAAGCTCATTGAGCAGGGCCCTCAACCCCTCTGTTTCTGTGTGTCCAACTTGTCTGGTTACAACTACATGTTTGTTTGTCCACCCACTGTAAAGCGCTGCAGAATTTGTTGGCGCTATATAAATAATAACATAATAATAATGTGCAGTGCTAGACATAACTATCACTCTTGTAATTGAATAGTTAATGAAGTAGCCATAGTGAAAAACAGAATAGTTGCAAGTAAGGTTTCATGTGTGGTTATGACAGGACCTGTCATCAGAACAATTACTTCACATAGTACTTAGTGTTAGTTACCATACTAGTAATGGAAAATGAAAAGAAAATGTTTATACTTGACACTTGACAAAGAAAGTATTGACGTTTTGTAAGCTCAGTAATGCGTTAACATCCAAGAAAGAAAAATTGAGCATAATGCAATAAGCAATAGAGACTAAAACTACAGTCAATTAATAAAAACTATTTATTGTTGGTTTCATAAGAAAAGCAGTGCCTGAAAACAATGTGTGAATGTATGAAAAACAACTCTGGGGCAAAGTTCTAAATATGACACAATCACCATGGAAACCATGCAACTGAACATTCTTGCTGAGTATTCTGCCTTTAGAATTCTTACCCAGAATTTAAATGAATACATACCTCTGTGAGTCATGAAAGCATATGATAGTCAAACAGAAAGCAATGAGATATAGGAATGTTAAACCATGGGCAGTCTATGATAGTCAGCAGGGTGCCAGATTCGTTGTGACTGGTGGGCAACCTGTGGCTGGCTCTCCAAACATTGGTGGCTTGCATGTTTTATCCTGATCCCTGTACAGCAGTCTGATTAAGAGTGATAAATATAACCATTGCAAGTCACTTGAGTGACAATGCATTTGAGCTAAATGTTTCTGTGGTTAATCTGAATACAAAGGGGTTAATAGAGACCCTCATTAGAGTGACAGAGGCTTCCAACATGTAAGCACAGAAACATCACTAGCATTAAGCAAAGGATCAAATCCAGCTCACATCCACTTTAGGATAAGAAGTACCAGAGACAAAGAGATCTAAGCAGAAAAGAGAGCAGAGGGCAACAGGAGGCCGGATGGAAGTGCAAGATGCTTCTTCCAAACCTCAGTCACTCTTGCAGGGGTTAAGTCGCTCTTCAAAGGCTTCTCCAGATAAGTCCTGCTTTGAGCCTGTATATTTATCATAAGACAACAGGGCAAATTCTATCAATATCCGTTAGCAAGGCTGGAAATTCCATTTCAACATATCTCGTCTGCCTTAACTCTTCATATCACAAGGAAGTCTTTTTCTCTAATTCATTAGTTGTAACTCAAATTATATAAATAAATTCAATATTTAGCATTCATCAGCATTGATCACCGGTAATTTATATAAACGATGAATAAGCTTCGTTATCACTTTGGTCTTTTCTCACCTCTATAAAACCACCTATTCCTAAGCATTGTTTGTGGTGATGTGAGGGAATTTGCATATATCAGAGTTTTATGTTACACATTGTAATTATATCTTGCCTCCACAGAAATTTCACTTTTTTTTTTTTTTACTTTCGAGTGGAATATATATAGAAATATGTATATGTTTGTACATAATCATGCCTGTCTAAAGCTTTGGTCTATGTATGTATATGTACTAATAAAGCGTAAAATAAATGTAAGGGTCTCGAACAAAATTATATTTACCATAACATTCAACATGAATTTATGTTCTTTCTTAGATATTCGTGATAAATAGGCTAGGTGCCCAGACCACATTAAATTAATGATGTAATACAGACCTCTGTGGTTTTTAGGTAACCTTAGGGCTACAGAAAATATTTAAGGCTATAATTGTTCTCTACGCTGCCAGATGGGACTATCTTAGTCTGGACCTAATTTCTGTCTTTCTATTCACACAGCAAACAAACAGTATAGTCCAGCATGTCTGCAGTATTCTTTTATTATGATGCCATACAGAAATGACAATGTTTGGATCAGTTGCCTGGTCATATTGAGCTGAATGCTGAACACAACCAGGAGGTGTGCTGGAACATTATTTTTCTATCGGTTTAATCTTGGTTGCAGATTTGGAATCAGTGTACACCCTCCTTACTTGTGTTCTCAAAATGATACTTTAAACACCAGAATAACCTTAGCTTATTGAAGAGTCTTGATTATAGCCCAGTCTCCCCGTTTAATAAACGGTCATTTAGGAGTTAACATCACTTTGTTTATGCAGCCCTAGCCACACCTCTCCTGGTTGAGCCTCTTCATGAAACACCAAAATGTTTAGCTTTCCTTGTTGCATTGTGTGTTTAAAGGACCACTCTAGGCACCCAGACCACTTCAGCTTTATGAAGTGGTCTGGGTGCCAGGTACCTCTAGGATTAACCCTTTTTTTAATAAACATAGCAGTTTCAGAGAAACTGCAATGTTTATACTGAGGGTTAATCCAGCCTCCAGAGCCTCTAGTGGTTGTCTCATTGACAGCCGCTAGAGGCGCTTGCGTGCTTCTCACTGTGAAAATCACAGTGAGAACATGCAAGCGTCCATAGGAAAGCATTGTAAATGCTTTCCTATGCGAGCGGCTGAATGCACGCGCGGCTCCTGCCGCGCATGCGCATTCAGCCGATGACGTCGCGAGCAAGGAGGAGAGGAGAAGTACAGCTCCCCGCCCGGCGCTGGAGAAAGGTAAGTGTTTAACCCCTTCCTCTCTCCAGAGCCCGGCGGGAGGGGGTCCCTGAGGGTGGGGGAGTATGTTTTCCTGGCACTATAGTGGTCCTTTAAAGGGATACATTGCAAGCCCTCCACTTCAAGCCCCTCCCTTTCTGTCTGTGGCTGTCCAATCACAGACTTCCCAATGTAGCTTAATGAGAAGTCTTTGCAAGGCAGGTGCTCTGGGCAATTGCTGCCTATTGAGTTAGCTCCACCGAGCAAAACAAAACCAGGAAGTAACAGCATCTGTTGTCTGCTTGAAATCCAAGGGGGTGTCACCATTTTAATCTATACAAGTGTCAGATTCTATTGAGCCTATAGTAGCCTCTAGTGTGTGATTAAAGTTTATCAGACGGAAGCTCTTCTAAAAGAACATAAAGTAAACTAACTGTTCTGTAAAAATGAAATCTTTTTTTTCCCGGAGGCTGTGTGAGTCACAGCCAGGGCAGGTGTGGCTAGGGCTGCCATTTAACCTCTAAATGGCAGAGAACTGAGCAGTTGAAACAGCAGGAGTACTATGCTACTAGCCAGATCTTAAAAGTTACTCACCAGTGCAGCCTTGAAAATCCATGTCATACTCACCAGGGGTGAATTTTGAATAAATCCAAAGAATACAGGCTACACGTAAGTAGCAATCCAAAATGCAAATGGATTAATTTCTACTTGCCATGAATACATTTTCATTTGCCAACGGCTAGTGGTGAGTGAAAGGTTGAATTCCTTATCTATCTCGTACCTCCCAGGTGGAGAGTCCCTATTTTGGGCCCAAATCTCACTGCCCTGCTTTTCTATCCTAATGTTCCCCCTTTTTAGTACCTCCATATTGTTGGAGCGTCTGAGTGTAAAACAGAGCCCTACAGCAATAATACAATAGTGATATGTCCTTAAACTACAATAAATGTGTTTAAAGTTTAGTTGGTGTAAATATTAAACATTTTCCCAAATCTCAATCCTAATGTTCCCCCTTTTTAGTACCTCCATATTGTTGGAGCGTCTGAGTGTAGAGCCCTACAGCAATAATACAATAGTGATATGTCCTTAAACTACAATAAATGTGTTTAAAGTTTAGTTGGTGTAAATATTAAACATTTTCCTAAATAACATTTTATATAGTATAACCTGTTATTATAGTCACCTAAATTGTCTCATAGTCCAGTCCCTGGCCACAAATCTTTTTCTCCATTTCAAATGTTGGGAAATATGCTATACACCAACACAACTTAATTAAGTTAAATTGTGTTGGTGTCTGGAGTTTTTTCATCTTGTACAATGTCCTATATGTTCCATGTATGTTATTGGTTCACAACAATTAAATGTACATTAAATGAAGCCCTAATTGTTATTTTAGACAAGTATTGATTAAAGATTGTAAAGATTGTTGTGCTAGTTAGAAATCTTGTGATCTCAGTGTGACTAGATAGGATGAAGTGATCATGGTGTGGTGTCTGCTAAATAGACACACAGATCTACATAGTAGATACAATGGAGAATGCCACATCTCTACAGGCTACAAGGAGCCAGAGTGTAATGAAGCATGAGGCAATTGCTGCAGAGTGGTGGGAGGTAAGGGGGGGATTGGGGGTAGGGTAGAGAGAAGGGGCAACAGCCGTGCCCCTACTGTGAGCAGAGACTTAGGGAATAGGGACATTACGCCCCTGAGAGGAAAAGTGCAGCGGTAGTCTCTCAATTAGAGTCACTGTAATGAAATTAAAAGCCATTAGATCATTCACCGCTGAGGCCTGCAAGTTACCCACATGTCAAAGGAATTTGGCTAAGCCATCGGGATGAGAGAGGCCTCGTGAGCAAGGATGTCTCCCCTGTTGTAAGGGTGGGGTGGGGTCAGAGTGGTTTGGCTGTCTCTGACGCCAACTATTATGGTGGAGAGGGATATATAGGCGCCACTTAAATACAATCAAAATGTCAATGTAGGTTTATGTATGCGTATGCCCAGTATAAATGGAGTGAGGGCAGAGCAGACATACGCATGCATAACACAGACATACACATTCTCAGACATTTACAGAGCTTAATGAAAGGAATCCCAATAGATTTGTTCTTGTAAAACACTTTATAAAATAAATAAATGTTCATGTATCTTTCAATTTGTACATATTTCTCAAGTGTTACATTCATTGTATGAATAAAAAAAATATATAATTATCACCTCTACATAAAAGAAAGATAAGATGCTTAGCGAATATTTATAAGTATAAATTTACAATTTTAAATAACATCATCATGAAACCAAAAACAGTTATGGGACATTGACAATTATATAGTATGTATATACACCTTTAAAATGTTACCTTTAAAACAAGTGTTATAATATCACAATTAGTAGGGAAATCAACACATTATCAAGGAATAACAGGTATTATTCTGGCTGCAAAGTTATAAATGTTAAGAGACTTTCTATTGGTTTCCACAGCGATTACCCGTTATTTAGCACTTTGCCCCAAAACAGCACCTATTCTTTACTTGGTAAATTCCGTGATCAATTTTCCCAGTGACAAGACACTGCTTTCAAAGGTGAGGCAGGGTCCTTCAAATGTAAGGAGCGATGCTAAAAATATGCAAATGTATTAGTGTCCTTCCGGAAAACCATATGCATTGTGGGTATTCTCCATACTGGCAATTAAGTTGCACTAAGCACAATGACTAATTCTCATCTATTCTAAACAGATGCAGAATCACTTACTTATAATGTGCCCTAATTATAATCTACCCTAACCCTTTTTAATGTTGTAGACAGTTTAATGTTGTTGCAAATTTAACCCAGCAGATGTAACATTGGCATAAAGTGGTCAATGCAATAAACTGTAGATCATTGACTAGGGCTTGCAGATTTCAGCCCAAAAAATCATTTGCTGAAACTGTTAAAAATTCCCATTCTCACAATTCTTGGTTAAAGAGTTACTCCAACCACCATAATTACTTCCGAGTACCTGCAAGGGCAAGCTTCCCCCTCTCCTACCCTCTGTGTGCTCCCTCCTGCCAACCTCCATTGCCCTCAGTATTTTCTTCAAACCATCCCACTCCACTACCACTCTTCCTCCCCTCCCCTTGCTGGCCCAGGGTGCACACATGCGCTCTGAGCTGGCAAAACAGACGAATCACCATCTTCTCCATTAGAAGCCTGGTTTTGGACCACTCGTGGCCCCAGTGACATCGGAGGGGGTGTAGAAATCAATGCCTGGAGCTTTGGCTGTGGCTGGATTCCAAGTAAGTAAAAAATCTTTATTTTGTAGATTTTAGGAGGGCCTTATCCACAGTGCCCAATAGTGCATTTTACACAGTCCTCTCTTTCACAAAGGTTGGAGTAACCCTTTAAGGAATAGGCCCTACTCAGGCTAGTTTACTAAAGTGTGGATCATCAGTGAATTTAAAATTTTAGGACAAAATAGCTGATCGGAAAACATAGATGACTTTATTATTATTGGTATTTGGAATTTTTCCCATTCTACTATTCAGGCCTACATTTTTAAATTTACTTTGAATTCCAGACAACTTTAGATTGTAAGCTTGTTTGGCAAGGTCCTCTTGACTGTTGTTACCGCATGTGATATATGTTTTGTTAGAATTAAATGTTTGTCTTGTACAGCGCTGCAGAATATGTTGGCGCTATATAAATAATTGTAATTGTGACTAAACCTGTCCTGTGTTATTTAGATTACCCATGAGTTACCGGCTAACACAAGTTAGTATCCTTTATTTCAGTACCCATTAGATCCATGCAGAGCAGAATGGGTTAATGTACATTTGTATGAGTGGAAACCACTGAAATTCTTTTTTTTAATGTGGTATACAATCCAAGTAGCTTGGATCAGAGTTTGCAAACCTGCACAATGCCGCCTCTGGACTTCTGGTTGCCGCCCCTTCAAACTATTATTCATCCAAGTTCTGTAAACTTTATGGATTTTCCAATTCAGAAATGGAAATCTTTGCCTAAAATTCTAAATCCAGAGGCTCGGGCTGCATCACATAACCCTTTCACTGCTGGATGCTATTCAATATGTTTGTGGAAATGTACAAGCAGTGTCATACATATGAATTGCATGAATTCTCATACATATTGTGAGGAAAATCTTTGAAGCATGCTTAAAAGAAAGACTCAAATTTAAAAACAAACAATATTTTAAATTTTTTTTATATTTTAGTTTACTGTCCCCTAGTAAAAGATATTTCTAATGCTATAGCGTTCTCACTACTAGTTAGATGCAGGACCCACCTAAATTAAAGTAAAACATTATGAAAAAGTTCTCTTACCTTTTTCCAGTGCCGAGACTCACTCGGTGCTGTCCTGTGCTCCTCCTCTGCAATGTCAAGCTTTCTGGCTTCTCTTCCAATTTAATGCTTATCATAGAAGCATTAGGGAAAAAGATACCTGGAACCATAACTATATCCACTAAAAAGAACATTTTTGACATTTTAAAGCAAAAACAGTAGAGTTACTGCACCCAGACCACTTCATCTCAATGAAGTGGTCTGGGTGCCTTTAGTGTCCATTCAAAAAAGGCCTTACACTCACCTTTGCACAGTGCCACCCAGTCCTCCTCTGGTGAAGTAATTGATAACTATTGTCCAATCAGATGTCAAACATGGCACATGTTTGGCAATCACATCAATCTGCCAATCCAATGATTCTTTATACTTTGCATACTGATGGTGGACATAACATTGATTCAATATTTTGATCTATCTTTGTTGGAAACTGCTAGTGTCCGTGTGTTAGAGATGTGGAAATTGCAAAGTGAAAACAGTGTTATACCTGAGATATGGCATTGTTTTTATTTGCAAAGCTGCATCTATGCCTCAAAATTAATTAATTAATTAAGATAAAACCATTTTGGTCCTTAGAGTGCACATTTAAACTCATCTAAATATGACAAATTGTTTTATTTGGAAAAAAACCAAAATATTATCCCCAAACCACTCCCATAATTCGTTTAAAGGCTGAAATATAATTATTGCATTAAAAAATCAAACATTTAGAAAATAGTTTGCTGGGATGGTATCAGATCACTCCTGGCATCACAACCACTACAGAGTGCTACAGTGATTAAGGTTTTTGGAGTGTTTCTTTAAGTCTTGCTACATAGTGATTCTAGCTGTTCCATGTCTGTTCTCAAGCTTCATTGTAAGTGGGTAAATTGGTGTTTAGTTTATTGTCAGAAAAGATTGATTGATGACTGCAGAAGGCTCTGGCTACAAGGACATCCAAAGTTTTGATGAGGAACGACACGCACCAATCAAGATAGAAAGGCTCCTGCGTGAGCCAAAATGTTGCCTGTTCAACTTCAATAAAGTCTGTGATTTTGGATAGAGAGTATGTGTGCCCAGATAACCTCTGGCTACAAGAAAAAACATATTTTGACAACAACCATGACAAGATTACCTCGGGCTATGATTTCTTATAATGCACCCATGGGTCTACTCTCCATTAGGCTATAGTGAAATGACAGTATAATGTGAATTTATGTTATTAAATTGTTTATTTTAGCGTCTTTCAGTACAATGTCTCATGTACATAAGACACTTTGCAAACCCATTTAGCAGTGTTTTCTTTTTACATTTTTATCTGTCTCTGTATGGGTTCTAAACCTAATCGGGATACAGTTTTGTGATGTTCATGTATCTTTGTTTATACAATGGTAATATACATTATACTATATTCAATCACAACAAAGACAGATGCTACATTTCAAGTAGAATAATTTTTTAATATGACTATTTTGCTTATAAATCACATTTTGCATTCACACAATCAGTGTTCCCTCTAAGACCATTGTGTGCACCTCTGGGTTTTGCATTGGCTACTCATGCTTCATAAATGTCATACAAGAGAACACTGCTTGCTCCCCATTGGCAACATTCATTTTACACATGCACCTTGCATTGTGCAGTAGCCTACCGTCCACCATTTTGAGGTGTGAAAATGCGAACGGGACGTGGGTGGGGCTATTGATTGTGCCAGAGACTCCACTTGTGTCACTGGTTATGCCCAAAATGGGCAATCCTGTGTGGAAAGAGTTGGGGCTGCCAAAAGAGCAGGCATTTTACCCCGGCATGGACTGACATTCAAATATGTCTGGATATACAAAATAACTACAAAAAGCTATAATTTTACATGCAAGCATAGACTTGCCCAAACCACAATCACAAATGTATTTAACTAACTGAACAAGCTCTGTGCCACAGATGGAATTATTGCTCAATAAATGACAAAGCTCTAAATTGTTACATGAAATTATTAACTAAACTTATAATTGGAATTTTTCTTGTGGGACGTCTAATTAAAGTGGTAGAATAAGTATTAATAATTGTTAAAAATATATAATACTTTAGGCAGTGATAAATACATTGCAATCTATTTGCTCTCAAGCCATTATTTAAAATGTAGGCTGGTAATATGTCAAAATCCCTATTTCAGAATAATGGCAGAGCGGTTTTAGGCAGCGCAAGGCATTGGGTGACATAATACCAGCTGTTTTTCTAACTTCCCACTGGCATCATGTCACTTTCCCTTAGGCGGATATTTTATAGTAATGCAATGCAGGCTCTAGACATGAGTAACCTGCAGTCTGCTGGGTTTTCGGCTCTCACTGGTATCTTCAAATCGGTTGTTGCTTGGAGGAAAGTTTTGGGGAAAAAAAGCTGATTTGAAAAGCAATTCTATCTCGGCTATAGTTACAGTTGGCTAATTTAAGCCTGTATATTACTCTGTATTTTGCAATCCACTACAATTTGATGTTTAGTGGATAAATCCTAAAGATGTATTCCAAATTTGGAGAATGATACTGTACATCTTCCAATCCATCCCAAGCAAAATCCCACTGCTCCAATTTAACTAATAATTATTAGCATATTATCTTGCGTGAGTTCACTGATGTATTAAAACATAAAACAATTTCAAGACAGGGTCCTAGCTCTTAGCCAGCAAATATATAAAATAACACAAAAAAGGGTTTCAAATATGGTTTATTTTGTGAAACCACTATGCAGTCCCATTATAATTTAAATTGACAAGTTCTGCAGGATTGTAAAATGTAATGGGGTTCTAAACAACAAACGCAATGTAAAGAAGTAAAGCTGCTACAATCAGTACAGCGCTACGGAATTTGTTGGCGCTATATAAATAATAAAATAATAATAATATTAAGGCTGCATTGCTGCATTGATGGCAATACTGCATGATGTGAATCTACCAATATCTGATCTGATAGCTGAAATGAGAAACATTGAAATAAAATTTTACATTGTCTTCTGATAATGGAATAGAAACTGTGTATATTTTTAACCACATAGCTGCCATTTAGTGCCTTGATGTTCCAAATTAAAATCCCAATAAAATGTCTCCACCAGACAACTGTGTCAACATTTCCAGCCTTGGTCTTTAAGTAGAGCGATTTTGGAATTATGCAAGTAAAACAGTATTTATAGGGTTTATATTTTAAGATAATGTCCATTTGTGCCTAACACATGCGTCAATAATTGATGTATCATACTCCTCAGTAACACAACAGTGTATTGTTAGAACAGCATTATCAAAGATTTTGTAGATAAAAAATAAATCCTGCTTTATACGCCCACAATTCCACAGAATAGCCAAATATCATGGGTATACCTATTCCTGTATTTTCAAAGCATTCTTTTAAATGGACATTAGCTAGATGCTCTGGAAGATGGGTCCATCTTACCATTACTTTGTAGCTATGTTGTTTTCTAATATCTTCTGACATTGCATAGAGGATACTAACTTTTTTCTTTTTAATTATTATTTGTAGATAATCTTGAATTCCATGCACAAATACCAACCAAGACTGCACATTGTTAAAGCGGATGAGAATAATGGATTTGGGTCCAAGAACACTGCTTTCTGCACACATGTGTTCTCTGAGACTGCATTTATAGCGGTCACATCATATCAGAACCACAAGGTATAGTACAGATCATTTAATTAACCAATACACAGATCCTTCCGAGCAACATCACTTAGGTACAGTTTCTAGAAATTCTAATGACTACAGCTGCAGGGGGGAAAGTTGTCTCTTTATAAATACTAATAATAACAGCTGATTCATTTTGGCTCATCTTTTACATATTATGCAAAAGTGGAATGGCATCACTTTAAATTGACATATTTTTATATATGCAGAAATCTCATTAAATTTTTACTTTTCGATTAGCTCTATGCTACTGAGCAGAGATGAGATAAACAAAACAAACAAACAAACATACAAAAACAATAGAAGTACTTCCACTATAAGGAAAGTGGGCTTATGTGACCACCTCTGATTGCTTGTATGATGTATCTGTGTGTCACTACATGAAGCATTGGAGCATGTGGCTGTAGGCACTTCTACATAATAAGTGGCAATCATGGAAGAGGAAGCAAAATTGGCTTTCCACTCCAGCATTCTGAGTCCATAAATGTAACTGGTTGAATGAGAACACATTCTATAATTAACCCTTTAGTGATTGAAGCTTTTCTGAAATTCCAGACATTCCATGCAGGCCTTTACGGCAAATTTGCAATATGTGTTTGTTCCACTGTACTTTCTTATTTTCCTACTAAGTGCACCAATACACATTATATATCTTTTTTTTTTATTTTTTATGGGCAGATAGAGCTTTCTTCCGATAGCTTAAATGTATACATAGTACACTATTATATATAAATAACATATTCATATGGGGGAAAAAATCAAAGAAAACAAAATCACAGTTAATAGGTTTTAAAGCTAAGTCTTTGCAAATGTTAGTTTGCTGAGACTATAAGTCTTTTTTTGTAGTCACAAACTCTAAAACTACACAACAGCATGTTATTTATAGAAACAAGACAACCTGCCATACTGGTTATGATGTGAGGAGGGCTCTGGCGCAGTTTCACGTTAATGAGGCAAACCGGTTTACAGTGGTTTGCCCTATTACCTGATCTTGCTAGACCAGGGTCTCTTCTGAAGCATGGTTTACGCAATCTGATCCTGCCACTCATTCATTGGCTGAGAGAGTCAGCTGACCAGTCTCAGACAATGAATGAGATTCTGTACATTGAAATTTGCACAGAATTGACATTAGCCAACCTGAAACTCTTCCCGGCTGGCTGATTTGACCGCACACTTCCAGCAAAGCGGTTAAACTCTGTATATGCAACATTTCAAAGAGAAATGTTGCATATACAAACTTCAGGCACCATGAACACCTCAAATCACTCAAGTGGCCATGGTGTCTAGAGTAATCCTTTTAACTCCATGTACTTAACCCTTAACCCAAAGATATATTATACCCTGTTTAATAGCATAAACCTATAGATACACACATTTAAGAAAATAACATTACGTTGAAGAGGTCTGAGCGCACCCCTAATGCCATTAATCAATAACAGCCCTAGATTCTAGGCAAATCCAATAGGTGATGTCTGAAACCTTTTTTTCAGCATCTTCAGCCGTCAATAAGACCGAGAGAGAGGAATCTGCAGAAGTAATAATGGTAGACAAAAAGTTGTTTGTTTTTTTCTCTAACATACCTACATCATTAGTCCTTATCACTGACTTATTTATTGCAACATCTTTTTTTCCGGGGGAGAGGAGAAGGAGAAGGGGTTCACCACAAGGCTTATGGACTGACCTATACTGATTGAATTTGCTATCAGGATCGATTCTGAACTATAGAGAAACAACTTATTAGCTCACATTAAACCAAAAGTTTCAAAATAGATCACATACATAAGGTTTTAATAGCTGAGGTATCACCAAACTGCCGAACACCAGACCAGCCTCATGGGATCACTGTATGGAGCTGAGTTGTTGTTTTCTGGAACCATTGCAACACTTGAAGAACAGTTTGTTGACTGGACTTAGACACTCTAGTACTGTCAGTTGTCAGTTTCTTGTTTGGATTGTGACCTTGCAGGGATTATCATTTCATGGACACCAGTGGATTATAAAATTGTCTCCATTGAACCATCATTATGCTAAATTGTCTAATTACATTTGAAGCCATGACATGTATATAAAGGGCTGTAATACGAACATGGTTTACAGTTAATAGACACAAATTCTTCTAAATCAAAGCAACAGTCTGAATTATTTTATTTTAGTAATTATTATTTAAAAATTTAAAATGTACACTGTTCCTAAAAACCTAATTATCACAGCTTAAAAAAGTTGTACTTTAAAAAAAGAATTTTTTTTTTTCCTGATTTTGGTGTCCAATATGCATTCACCCTGCATAGTGTTGCAATAAAGGGGTTAATGAATTAAATACCTAAATTCCAGTTGCCAAACCTTACTCCAATTTATGCACATACTTTCATTGGGTTCTGGAAATGAGTAGGGCCAGACAATCTTTTTTTCTTCTCTTTTGTAACATCTGTACACACATGAAAGGGACTTTTCTGCCCATATGGAGAAGTCTTAAAAAAGAATAAAAATAAAAATATACTTAGATGCCTGGAAAGAATTGTGGTAGCACATTTTCCCCCTTTAAATAAATTGATATTAGAGTGTGCTATTTACTTGCAGTTAAATAATTGTGCTTATTATCTTTTAATGTACATGCCTCCGAAATATTTTATTTCTGCCTGTGAAAAATATATAGATCTACCCAAACACACTCACATATTTATATATAAATATTATTTAGCTTTCTAAATTTTGGCATGCAGAATTATCACCCAAACAGGATACATTTCTAGTAAAGTATGACTTGTTTTAATTGTGTATATATATATAGATATATATATATCTATATATATATACGATATCGAATATAACACTCGTGAGAACTCGTGATTTATACTTTTTAGAAAAAAATACCAGTTCAGGAGTCAGAGTCCAAATATAATAAAATTCAATAAAATGAATAGATTCATCATTTGGCAATGTACAAATATGACCGGTTTGAAAAAATCTAAAAAAATGCTCCTTTTTTGATACCTTTGACAAAAATCTAAATAGTTCTGCTGTTTTATAGATATAGTATGATTATAATTGTGTATATAACCAATGACCATGTTTTCAGCTTTTTGTTACTTTGTATAGAACAGTGCGATATGCTGATCTCAGTCTCATCTCATTTACAGATCACACAGTTAAAGATTGAGAACAATCCATTTGCTAAAGGGTTTAGAGGAAGTGATGACATGGAGCTGCATCGCATGTCCAGAATGCAGAGGTAACATTCCACCATTGTGCTTTTTAGTGTTGAAGTTAATAGATAAAAGGCAGTTCAATGTGGGTACTGGGGACAAGACGTAAAATACAATGATATGAGAGCCTATAAATTAGTATGACTGTTTGCTATGCAAGTCTGTAAAATTAATAACTTAATTAATTGTATTTTTTTATAAATTCTTTATTTTTTGTTGTGCATATCATGAGTTACATTCAACAGAGTAATCTGCTGTGCCACAGCAGCCACAGCATGGGTATTGCAAACATAAGGCAACTTGTGTGGTTAGAACATATGTTACGATGTGTATTCTGCACATTTTAAAAAAAAGTTTGAACGTTGGTGCTTTGGTGTATGTATGAGAGCTGGTATGGATGGTTGCGTGTATGGATTTGGAGACATTGAGTGGTGTGGTAATTTAAGCAGGAGTGGTATTAAGAATGAAACGGAGCGGGCCGTTCAGTGTAGGGTTGTCATTTTATTGCATGTGTTATGTTTGTTGGGGTTGAGTGAACAGGCCCTTCTGTGATGGTACCCCTAACCAAGGAGGTTGCGGACGGGGGGAGAGCTGGTAGGCGTGGAGCCAGGCACCCACCAGGTTGTGCCCTGATGCCAGGGTTTGGAGGTCAAGGTATGTTAGGTCCTCTGTAGGGGACTCTCGTGTATGTGCTGTGTTGAACATGCAGTTAGCAATTGAAAATAAACGTAATAAACTATAGTATAGCAGATTGCAGGCAGTTGTTTAGTCCTGGAGGTGGTCAAGTCCCAGGGTGTGTGGCCGGGCTGGCAGCTGGTATGAACGGTGTAATTTGGGCAGGGTTCCAGTCATGGGTGTTCTTTCGTCTGTCGTTGGCTGTTGTGTGGGGTGGTAAGCCCAGTGCTGCGAGGAGTGTTGGGGTATCAGCAAGCGATGCTATTTTGTATACTGTCCCTTCGTGATTTACCACGAGAAACTTGGGGGTCATCCATCGATATTTGACGCCTGCTGTCCTCAGCTGGTTTGTGAGAGGTTGGAGAGATTTCCGCCACTGCAGGGCGGTCCTCGTGAGGTCTTGGAAGAACGTTAGGCTTGCGCCTTCAAAGAGGAGTGGTGTCTTGCCCCGCAGTACTCACCATATGGCGATTTTGTCGTGGGAATATGAGCAGCGTATTATGGTGTCCTGTATGGCGGCCGCTGGGGCCCTGGTGGACTTTGGCAGGCGATAGGTCCCGTCATGGGTAACTTTTCTGGCTTGGGCAGTTGGCAGAATGGTGGCTCTCAGTCATCGTATGTAGTGCGGGAGCTCTTCTAGAGTCACTGTGTCCGGAATGCCTCTTATCTTAAGATGGTTTCGCCTAGACTTGTCGTCCATTGTGGCTTGGTGTAGTGAGAGTGTTTGTTGCATGGCATTTAGGTGTTGGATAGCCTCCTGCACAGTGTTCATACCTTGTTTCAGGTCTGTGATATCCCCTGCTGCCACACTTACTCGTTCTGCGACCTTCTGCGTGTCTGCTTCTATGATTGCTACATTGGTCGCTAGTAGGTTTTTAATTTCCCCTACCAGGTTCTGGAAATCCCTTTGGGTGACCGGGGCTGACCCGTCCTGTGCAGCCAGTGTGTTTTGCGCTGTGCGTGGCTGTTCAGGCTGTGGATGTGTTTCGGTCTTCGGGGGGTTCCCGGGAGTGCCCGCTGCCATGCTGGTGCCGGGCGGTGCCATTGTGGATTGCGGCTGACATTGGAGCAGGGCCCAGATGTCATGTGTCCCTGATGGTGTGTGTGGTGGTGATTTCTGGGACAGACGTCCCATCTCAGCGGCTCGTTCAATCTGGGTTGCGGGTCTCCCTCCTTGTGTACTCGTTGGTGTGATGACATCCAACAGCACCGCCAGGTCCAGGCTTTGGGTGGCGTGGTAGGCCCCGGTTTTTCGTTTCTTCCTCGGAGCCTTTGCAGCCTGGAAGAATGGCATATGGCGTGCCTGGGGTGTGCTCTCGATGTGTTTGGGTGAGTAACCCGTGCAGTTAGGCCTTTTGGTTCGATTTTTAGGGTTTTTACGATAGTTTTTAGCGGAGCTGGTGCGAGTTGCGTTCGCGCTGATTCAGGCACAGGCTCCGCCCCCCGAATTTTTAGTTTTTTGTGTTACATTCTAAAGGCTTTGGAATTATTTTGTTGGTAGTTTGGTATTAAACACAATTCCAATGATGCCTGATATACATATTTATTAACTAATAAATTATCTGAAGGAAACGGATTAAATCTTACTTATTATTTTTAATCAACGTTCCATTTTATCTCAACTGCAGTAAAGAGTATCCAGTGGTACCTAGAAGCACAGTCCGGCAGAAGGTGTCCTCCAACCACAGTCCTTTCCCTTCTGAGACACGCAATATCACTGGGTCTTCCAACCTTAATTCACAGTATCAGTGTGAGAATGGAGTGAGCAGCACATCACAAGACCTGTTGCCCACAGCAAATCCTTACCCTGCTCTACCCCATGAGCCTGGCCCAATATATCATTGCAGCAAAAGGAAAGGTAATGGATACTTGGCGTCATAATATTATCTATTCATAATTATATAATATAAGTTATGCTCTCGGGTTTTTTACTGTCACCAAAAACTCACTTAACTCTTGTACCAAATACACAAATGTAAATGCTAAACCCTCTTTCGGTATACCTGTACTTGATGATCTACTATTGGTGCTAGCTTTTATGTAGACAGTATACAATAAAAATAGATAACTCCTCTGATGTGTAAGTAGATGTTAAGGTAAAATTAACAGATGCATCTCACCTAAACGTGAATACATTATAGGAGTGCCGAGGGGGTCAATTCATACAACATACAAGATACAGCACACTAACTTCAAAGCTAGCAAAATGTTTTTTAATAAATAAATAAATAAATAATAATTTTATATATATCCCTTGCTTTACAAGGGAACACAGTTTCTCAGAATTGCTGTTCCCAGCACAGACTTTGAGTTCTGTTTTGTCATAATGTAGGCGACCCAACAGTAAATTTTACATTTGTGTTCATTAGTAGGGAGTTTTATCATGTCTCTGCTTACTCTCATCACACCTTTCTTTGAAACTTACCTGTATCCTTTTAGTAAAACTTCAACTCCTGAGACACAGCCAATACAATACTGATGAGTTCCAAAGACTGTGCATTGTTTTTTTTTTTGACCTCTTGGATCACATCACATTTTTTTTAAGAGTGTTCAATTGCAGATATGTTGGATGAAGTCTAAAACACAAAACCTGCCACTGCTCATTTGCATATTCAGCAAGGCATTCTAGGAGAATTGTGGGAACATGAGTCTCAAAATCATTGTGCCCAAGAACAAAATTATTCCATGATCTTCTTTGTGAAATCTAGGTGAAGCCTATGTATCTCCAGTATAGAATCACATCTTATCGAGCTATAGAGTGTCAGTTATATCTGCGTATAAAGGCTTCAAGTCTCTAAAGTTAGCCACTCTACAGAATATGTGTAGAGTGTGCAAGCAGTTGTAGATGGTTAGTGTGTTTGTGTAGTTAATGAATAAGATAGGCCTGGCAATTGACAGAGTAAGAAAATAAACTAAAGGTAACTAATTGAGTGAGATGAGATGTTCTGGATGACTTGCGGGCATGGTGTCCAATAGTTCTAAATAATACTTGGTCATATTTTTTGGGATAATGAACCTGCTTTAAAAAAAGTGATTGTTTTGTTCTCTCGCTATATATTTGTTTTAATGGTCATTTTTCTATTATTTAAGGCTTACAACTTCAGAATGGACTCTTGTGAGCTCGTAAATGCATTGTATTTTAATTTGTATATTGTCAAAAGTTAAATAACTTACAGCTTGCAAACTAAAATATACATAAAAAGCTTCATAATGTAGCATAATGCAGTTTAATATAGCTGGTGTGTATCAGCTAGTAAGTTTTTACTTACACTAGTCTCATTTTTTATCTTCTGCCTACAGTAAGTGAAGAATCAACTGAGCATGCTTACAAAAAGCCCTACATGGACACATCTCCAAGTGAAGAGGATCCTTATTATCGGTCTGGATATCAACAACCTTCATCCTCTTCCTCCACCTCCACCTCCTTCCGCACAGAATCTGCCCAGCGCCAAGCTTGCATGTATGCCAGTTCGGCACCAGCAGCCACAGAACCTGTGTCTGCTTTAGAGGACATTTCCTGCAACAGCTGGTCTAGTGTGCCCTCTTACAGCAGTTGCACAGTAAGTAGTGGGATGCAATCCATGGAGAGACTGCCCTATCAGCATTTCTCAGCTCATTTCACCTCCAGCTCCCTTATGCCCAGACTGGGAAACCATACAGGCACACAACCTGCAGATTCCCACTCAATGTTTCAACACCAACCTTCTCATCAGACCATTGTGAGGCAATGTGCACCTCAGTCTGGGTTACAACAAGCTTCGGCTCTCCAGTCCTCTGAATTCATCTACCCCCATGCTGTGCCCCGGACCCTGTCCCCACACCAGTACCATTCTGTCCATGGGGTGGGTATGGTGCCAGACTGGAGTGATAACAGCTAACAGGGCAGATACAGAATATGTAGATGGATTTTGAGCAAAATGTCTAAGCACAGTCTTTTTGGGCCTTCTAAAGGTGGACATTTGTTGAAAGGCTCACATCATTTGTATGCTGGAACTTAACTTCCTGATGACCTCAAGAGAAACAATGATCAAATTCTTTCACTTTCTTCCTGTCATACACCCCAAAGGGGTTCACAGACAAGATTGCAATTAATTCCGGATACGTAATCTTCTCAAAATGAAGTGGAACACTAAGAATAAGTTTAAGATTGCCCTGTAGATCGGCACTTCACATACCAGGGTTTAACCCTAAAGGAGTGTACATGTTAAAGGGCAAGGAAGCAAAACAGTAATGCACTTCATGTACTCACCTGCCTGTCTCTGCCAAGAATATTTGGTGTTTGCAGTGTGTTACACAGTGTGATGTAAGAGGCTGGAGGCGTCAATAAAAAATGTGTAGAACATATTGACAATTGGAAACAAGGAGGTTTGTGTTGGAGAGGGGCAATGCTGTATTTAGTTCACAACACATAGAAGCCTGTGGCAGATGCAGTTAGTTTGGGTTCTTCTTATTAATGATACATTTACAACAGTGGAATGGAACCAAAGAAACATACATAAACAAAGAGCTAATTGCAGTACGAAAAATAGAATTTGAAGGCTATACTCGTCAAAAACCTACAACAATTTATATTGGCTTACGCTCCGTAACAAATAGCTAAAAAAGTAATTTAATATTTTGACAATGGTTCCACAATTTATGGAAACACTTTGAATTTCTTTATGTTTTCTATTATATTTGTTTTAAAGGAGGAAAGATGTATTCATTGTCATTTATACCAACAAGCAACTTTGCTCTCAAAACAGTAAGCAGGTATCAGAGATGGCCAGAAGTGGTCTTGACCTCAAACATCACACAAGGTCACTTGAACATTTATCAAGCAAAGTCACAAACACTTATTGCACAAAGTACACTTAATGCACAACCTATGCCAATGTAGCTACTTGTATTACGTAGGATTACCCATTTGTAAATCAAACAACTGCTAAACAGTACTTTATTCAGGATTTTAAAATATGAATAATTAGGTTTAAAGGTTATCGTTATCTATATATGAGAAATGATGAATTGTTATCAATCCATTAATGATCAAAATCTATAATCAATGGTCATGGTTTTCAAAAAAGCACTTTTATGGATATTGGTTGTCCCTGAATCCTGCACTTTGGAGGTCCATGAGAGTTTATTTGAGAACCACTATGGATCCAATGATTGTCAATGTCATTGCTTATCCTTCTGTCATTCAGATGGTTAAACATATAGCTGTATGAGCAGTGCAAGGTGCACTTGTTACACCGAGTACATTGTGTATCAAGTACTTTCATACCACATCACCTGTCAGAACTGTGGGTGTTTGAGTAGTGCTAGTTATAGGACTGATAACTATTTTGGCTGAGTTGATATTAACTAATAACCAATCTCATATTTATTTTCTCCCCAAAGTAATAACAACACAGGTATATTAGGTTAGCTGATAGATTCCTTATTTGGCTTTGGCCTCAAAAGTATGTTAGACTCCAAGAAACATCACAGCAAATCAATCGAAACAGATATTTGTTTAAATCTACATGTTACACAGTGACCTGTTTTGGGATACACAAAATGTGAAACATTATCTTTGAAGACACATTTGTGAAAAAAAGGTCTCATACTTATTGCAAACACCAGCAGAAACCTTTATGCCCATGAAAACAACATGATATTAAGTTTGCATAGATACAATCCTAGGGCAACACTATTGGGGTCTCAGGGAAAAATGAGTGGTGGTTTCATGGATCTCATGAGTAGGGGATACTTTTGCTCCTCACTCTCTGACCCATGTGTGGCACACTAGGGCTAATATTTAAAAGCTAGGGACTCGAGACTGTTTCCTTGTTCATTACCCCATTTGCTGGAAATGGGATTAAAGATATCTCTTTGGCCATTCCTACTCCACATGAGACATTACACGGAGGAGCTTTGATTTGTAGCTTTCCTCTGTCTGTTCCATACTCCATTTAATGAGATTGGGAGATCCACGTAAAAGAAGGGCCAATAAATAAATTAGACCATTAAATGTGCATATGCCATGGTGATACTCAGTTCAATTAAATGTACTCCTCTTCCCACCTAATTGTATAATGCCAGCAATGTCCAATCTATCTATAGCACCATCAACTTTAAAATCTCCTGACCATAGTAATTTGCATTCATTAAAGTAACAATATAGTTTAAAAGTCAGACACAGAAAAACAAGCCCATAGGTTGACTAGCCACCCATAATACTGTACTTTGTGGGGGGAAAAGTGAACTGGCAACTAGTAATGCCACAAGTATTGGGCACCCCTTGACATTACACTTTTGTGATGGGCATACATTAAGGATTATATATATATATATATGTACATTTTGGCAACCAGGAGATTGGAAGCTCTACTAGCATAATTATTAGCTACCATTCCACAGTCCATTGTGATGGTGAGGGCGACAGTTTTTTTTGTTGGTTATTAAGGGGCCTTGGGGACTCTTGCACGTTTAATCAGATCCTATTTCACAAATCAGAAGAAGAAGAGAAAGGAGGACTTCCGAGAAACCCCACTCTTTATATTACTTAACCCACTGCATGTTTTTAGAGGGAAGAAGAAAGATGGCTGCCCATGGGATGGATGATGGAGTGTGTACGTGAAAACAGTTTTGGGCCACTGCAATTAATTTTGGGGAAACAGTTATATTTCAGTGATATTACCTGGAAAATGCACAGTGCAATTAATCACATTTGTTTATGCATTTTGCCACCTAGATATATTCCTGATGTCTATCTCACCATATCACAATATTTGACACATTTCAACTATTCATTAAACCCCCCTATCTTCCGTGAACTTGCCTCACATGATACTGAAGCACTAGATCTCTGCTATGCCCCTCTCCACACACACAGAATACTAGATTTCTTGACTGTTGTGTTCTTGACAATGTTATATAATAAAAGATAATATATTTTTCCTGTGTGGTCTTTCTGTGAAATATTCTCTATAGATGCTTCTTCCTTTTTATGCTGCAATGCACTTTTTTTAACTTGTAATAATTCCTCCAGAATTCCTTTTCAACAGTGTTAACATATGAATTTCAACAGCGTTTGAAATTTATCTTATTAATAGAAACTGTTCTTTAAATAAATATATGTATATAGTTATAAATCATGCTTAGTGAACTATAGTAAACATGGACCAGGCTCAATTCAATGGATTAATATATAATGCTAATGTATATAAACTCACTAAAGTGTAAAGTGTTGATTTGAATCATCATACGCATCCGTATATTTAGTGTCCTGGATACAGTGTACTGATAGTGAATACCAAAAAAAACCTGGGTCATATGAACCTCTATAAAACGAACCTTCTCTCAGATCTGTTATATTAATGGTGACTATAGAGATTTGTTGAAATGATCATATATTGGAATGGTGATTGGCAATATTATTAATTTTAGAATTACTTTATTGGGGTGTTGGTGGATTTTCTTAAGCAGTAGTTTTTATATTTTCTCAGGATTAAATGACTATAATGGCAATGCTCGACCATGTCTCACATTTTCTTTTGGTTGTTAGGAGGTTTATTTCCATTAGGTAACCAAGAACTTCTTTGGAATTGACAAAGAGTTTCACATTTTAAATTGGCAAATTGAAAGAATAGACTGTATAATAAAAATTCCTAACACCAACAATTTTATATTTTTAAATGCAAAGTATATTATAAAATTACTTAACTTTACCATTTCTTTTTGGATAAGGACTACAGTAACACCTTCCCCTAAGACCTTCCAAAATGTTCTTTAAGCTGACAAAATATAAATAAAATAAGGGATACAGCTTATTTCTAAAAATAAATAAATGCAAGGAAATGTAAAATAGGGTGATTTTAAAACGATGTAATTTAAAACCAGGGCCGGCGCAACCTTGCCACCTTAGAGTGCACTGATCCTGGGGGGCGGATTGTTCAGGTGACCAGCAGGAGAGGAGTGCATAGCAAAGCACTATCCCCTTCTGCCAGTCACTAATTGGCCATGTCAACCGTGGTAGAAGATCTTCTGTATCCTCTACCCAGACTGACAGGAAGTGCTCACTGAAAGCACCAAACAGCTTCCTGTCACGGTCTGCACGACCATTACTACAAAGGTAAGGGGACCAAAAATGAATAGGGGGATGGAAGAGACTACAAATCAATTCGGGTAGTGGAAGAAACACTCACCTGAGCTGGGAGAAAGAGACAAGGTGCTGGGGGGAGACACACAGAATGACCGAGGAAGGAGAAAAAGAGACATACAGAGGTACTGGAGAAGGGGTAAAACAGACCCACAAAGAGGTTCAGGGGAAAAAAAGCAACATAGGCGTTGGGGAAGGGGTGAAAAAGAAAAAGGTGCTGGGGAGAAAGAGGCACAAACAGGTGCTGGGAGGAATAAAAGACACACAAAGGGGCTGGTGGAAGAAAGAGATACACAAAGTGGTGAGGACAAATTAAGAGACACATAAAGGGGGGTTGTAAGAGACACACAAGCGAGGTGAAAGACATGCAAAGTGTAAAAATGATAACATACACTGAAGGGGGTGTAAGGCAGCAAAGAGGGAACAAGAAACACAAAAGTAGCTAAGAAATTCAAAACAGGGGTTGAGAGACACAGGTGAAGATGCATTTTTTGTTTCATGTGTAGCCAAAAATCCTTGCTCTGGCCCTGACTGCAACAGAATTAGTTACAACAATAAACAATGTTTCAATTTAACAACAAAATGAAACTCTAGAACAGTGATGGCTAACCTTGACACTATACATTGTTTCTGGACTACAAAAAATGATTTTTATGCATGCACATTTATATATCAAAATAATATTAATTACAATATGATAAATATTCCTAAGCCATTATTAAAAAACTATTAAGCCCACTACATACGCCCAAATAAATATATTAAATAATTTTTTTATAATTAATCATATAAAACAAACAAATGGTGTGCGTGCCTATTTTATGTTTGTATGGATCATTAAGAACTCCTACAATAGTATGAAATGTGTTGGACTGTTTTTCTTTTAACAAAGACCTCTTTTACTGTTGTAATTATTATAATGGCGTGAAGCAATAAATGCTTTTTTATCCCCACTGAAGTTTGCTTAAAGCTCACTGGAAAAGAGGTGTCCATGGTCTACAGGGTGCTGGAAGTAATTAGTATATTGGGGGAGGCACCCTGGAGCTGATTATCTCCCTATGATCTTGTGAGTGCAAGTGAGCCTGGACCTAAATTTACATCTGGTAAAACGATATGTCTCCCAATTTTATAATTATATATTTTATATATCTAGAAATAAGCTGTTTCTGCTTTTGTTATATATAATACGTTGAAAGATTAGCTGCCTTTAAAAATGTTTCAAATTTCTGTCCAAAATTTTGAATTTCCAGTTCAGTCCCTCCTAGTTCTAATTTTAGTAAATGACTGTGTAGAGTATATGTTCCAAAACAATGTGATTTATTCACTATACTTAAAGGATTTAGTGTGATTTGTTTTAGGTCAATGTTTGTAATTTTTTAATGAAATTTTCACTATTTTTGGTTTATTGCATAAGTTAGAAACATAGAATGTGACGGCAGATAAGAACCATCCGGCCCATCTAGTCTGCCCAATTTTCTAAATACTTTAATTAGTCCCTAGTCTTATCTTATAGTTAGGATAGCCTTATGCCTATCCCACGCATGCTTAAACTCCTTTACTGTGTTAACCTCTACCACTTCAGTTGGAAGGCTATTCCATGCATCCACTACCCTCTCAGTAAAGTAATACTTCCTGATAGTTCTAGTGAAATAAGTTTAGATGTAATTATAGAGGAGTGGGGCTCTTACTAATGTATATTCTATTAAACATCTGAAAGGAAATGCATTAGAAAATAAAGTGATTAAGGGCACTTTATATTTGCTTTCTGGAACTACACAGGTTAAGCCAGTCTCTTTTCATGTCTACTCGGAATCCCTGTGTCGAGCCATGCATATGAATGGAGAGAAAAGGAAAACCACAGTTATCTCTCAGGGGTGCACTTGAGTAGAGAGGCAGCGATGGATCTGCCAACATGAGCCGTAAACCAGGAAACCTGGAATGCGTTCCAGACCTTTATATTGTGATCACATGGGAAAGACCCCAGTTAACCACAGAACCCCAGGATCTCTCACTGGCTATGTGCAAATGCCAAATTAACTGAACAAGCGTAATGGAAAGAGGGGAGAAGATCGTCATTAACAAAGAAACAGTAACAAGGAATCACAATAAATATGCAGTAGCCAGAGTTGTCAGGTTGTAGACATCAGACCAGTTAGAACATTTTAAAAAAATATATATAAAAAAATTGAAAACCCAGAATTATTTAACATAGACCGCCCCCCAAAAAATTGTGCACTCGCACTTCCAGGGAGCTTGAATACAGCTCCCATTGGGCAGAATGATCCATGCTTATGAATATAGTATAGTGCAATAGGTATCCTCATATAAATATGAGACAAATAAAAGTATGTAGTGTAATATGTTGAGCTAATTAGCAAGAGTATGCTTGTAGATAGGGGTACACTCACATATTATGGAGCCTAAATACTGGCTCCAGAAATATTGCGTGAAGTGGTATAATCCCCACTCTAGGAAATAGGTGATGTAGATCTCTCTCCATGTAAAGCAAAATTAGGTTTGCTCAGTCCAGTAGGCTTTGGTGGTATTATGCCCATCAAGCATATGTAGCTAAGGAATCCAGTAGCAGAGTGCCAGGTTCAATACAAAAGTACTTTTATTAGTAGAAAAAGAACAATAAAATCAAAGACAAAAGGTAAAATAGATAAATAAAACAATATTACATTACATAACACATTTCACCATGAACTGACTTTATCAAAAGTGTATTACCATCTATTAATTGTTATGATTAGGGACAAATTAACATATGAGTTAATGAAACTGCAGCTCCGAGACAATGCTTATGAAATAGTCTCATTCATCTCTATCTCTATATCAGCCAAACAGATCTTCTTGTCATCTTGTGGCAATGTGACAAGTCATCCTACCTACTAAACTCTATTCCAGGTTGCATACCAGGAACCAGCTTCTGCCTGCTAGAATGAATGGAAGATTCAGCAAATGTGATTATTGAGAGAGGAGTTAAGAGCTGTGTGGTTTGTAAGATGGACACTTAGACTGGGTTGATAAATAGTAGAGAGCTAATGAGTTGGTGTAGGCTTAAAATGCATTCTGTAAATCTCCCTCCAGCACCACCTTCTCCAGCTACAAGACATTTAGGAGATATGGACTGGTTGGTGAGTGTTTTTTGTCTGTTAGATTCTGTAATTAGGCCCAACATAATAATCAGCACCAGGCCCAGGGCCGGTCCGTCCATTGGCCCCAGTGGGGCAATGGCTCCAGGCGGCACTTTGACAGGGGCTGCATTTTGCCGCCCCTGTACCTTTAAGAAATCTGGAGCAGGGTCTGGGCACCCAATTTGCACATATATATAGCGAGTACCGCTATATATATGTGCTGTTCCGGGCCCTGCTGGTGTGTACAGTGAAGAGGGAGCCCTGAGAGTGATCTTACATCCTCAGTAGCAGCAGGTACTCTTCTCTGCATTGCGTGTCGTGCGGAACGTTGCCATGGCAACATGTGGTAACACTCATGTGGCTCGCAATAGAAGAGTACTTGCTGCTGCTGGGGATGTAAGATCACTATCAGGGCTCCCTCTTCAGTGTCATCCAGCTCTACTGGACCACCATGGAATCCTGTATCCCCCTCACTGCCAACAGGTAAGAAGCAGGGAGGGGGGAATAAGTAAGTGCAGGGAGGGGGGAATAAGTGCAAGAAGGGGGGAGTAAGTGCAGAGAGGGGTGAATACCTGCAGGGAGGGAGGAATAAATAAGTGGGGGGGATGGGGGAATAAGTGCAGGGAGGGGGGAATAAGTAAGTGCACCCCCACAAATTTACTTATCACCACAAACACACACTGCATGCACTTTACTAACAGAGTCACTGCATCCACTATACACGCACACACTGCATTCATTATACACACACATTGCATCCACTACATCCACACTACACCCACTATACACACACTCTGCATCCACTATAAACACAAACACTGTGTTTATCATTATACACACACATTCAATGCGATACGCACACACTGCATCCACAGCTTCCACTACACAAATACACACACTGCACACAATACACACACTGCATCCACTACACACAATGCATAACATAATGAATGTGGGTGTGTTTTGGTTGGTGTGATTTTGTTTGAGGGGGGCAGCATTTCATGCTTGGACCCAGG